TAGGGCATGGGCGCACAACCCATGATCAACAGCCGATTCCACTCATTAGTATGGAGGGAACCCATTCACACGAAAACAACTGTAGATGTCATTGACCATGAATGCTGAGACAGCTGCAGCCAACAGCAAAATGTAACATTGAGATTTTACAAAATAACCCTACTTTGGACATTTGAGAGTTACTGTATTGTACTTACACGCTGTTATTGTTAAAAAACAAGGGACTAGTTGTTGAACTATAAGCCCATGTCCGAACCTGCCACTGCTGAATTCGCTAGATCATGTGACAGCACCATTATGCCTATTATTTTCAAGCTGTTACGCACAACTTTGTATGATTATGCAAACCCTTAGATCACAGCAGGGACGGATCCCACAAAAGCGACCATCTGCTTACGTTGTGGCTATGCATAATTGGAATTTTCTCAATGGACTTACTGTCAGCCATGACATTTTTGATGAGCCAAGGAGCCTGGCTGTAACTTGACTTCCACTGGGACCCTGCTGTATGCGTGCACACGAATGTGCACCATTCCAGGGCAGACACAAAATATCCCCACTAGAAAAAAAAAAAAGCCTGCAGTCAATGTCACTGATGGGGAGCTACTGTGTGGAGTGAAATTTTGATGATACGAAATGCAGACTCGTTGATCGTATCCGCCCCGAACGGGACCAAGAGAGGGCGCCATTTTTCTAGCAATGGAGGCTTCTTGAGTAGGGTGTGCAATTTGCTGGTTTACACACGACTATGCAATGCATGCATTGCACTCACATGTCGCTACAAATGAAATGAACACTCCCCACTGCCAAGTGTCTCTTTTCCACCAATGAGGGCATGCTTCTGCTCAAGGGGGGACTGTGCACGCCTACATGTATGTGCCCATGACAACTGTCATGTATCAGGATTAGAATCCTAATTGAAAGTGTTCAAACCAACTGGTAGTTTACTATCCGTTAAAAATCACCCATATAACAGTCACACAGACATAGCTGAGACGGGGCCAGGCAATTTTGCTTTGACATAATGCACGACATAAAATCACCAATTGACTCTTACCAATTGAACACATAATTTGCTCATGCACCAAAAAGTTCCACTTGAAGTAACATCTACCTCAGATTACAGTTGGCCACTTTAAAATACACTGTTTCAAATATTTATGGAAGTTCTAAAGTAAACAAAGAGGCTCTTAACCCCTTTGCGCCGGGAATTTCTTCCCGAAAGCCAACTCACAGAATTCAAGCCTTGCTTGGCCACGAAGGCCACCTGCCAAACCGCAAATTCTCGGTTTGTGGCCCTGCGTGCTCTGCATGCTTTGAATTACACAGTGAAAAGGCTCATTGTTCGGTGGCATGTGGCTCTCCTCACGCTTCCACATTCCCGTTGCCTCTTTTCAAAGTGGGGACTATTGTGAAGCTGGTGATTATGATGCAAATTCGGTCTCTTCATTTCTGGGCTACAAAAAAAAGGCCAATTACCATATACACAAGAGCCAGGGTCTGCCTTCTTTCACCGTGTTTGATCGAGCGTGGGCGTGTCTAGCCGCGTCCCGGCGCGAAGGGGTTAAAAGAGAGATAAATGCTGAAGAGACCCATTGCCATGTGACTGATGCCACAAAACTTACTCTAAACAGGGAGGTCCAGAGCATTCCACGACCAAAATTATCGATGGCCACGTCAAGCTGAAGTTGGAATTAAAGGTAAATAAATATTTGATAAAGCTTCATCTCCAAAGATGGCAAGAAAAGCACTAGATGTTTGACGGGGTCCTGAGGAGAGCCATGACCTCCCATTTCAAGACGTTAAAATTTACAACTTGGAGAACACCACATAATCAGTACATCTTACATCTTTCCGCCATGTCAATAAGTCTTCTCTAAGGGAGGATAAGGTTGGCATATACAGGAACATGTTATTTCTCAATTTTGGACCCCGGCTTTAATCTATTCTAGTGTCAATCTTTCAGGGTTGGTCCTTCCATATCCCTGTGGGATTTTCCCAAGTTTTTATACTCTTGCCTTTGCAGAAACTCTTTTAACTTTCTCCACTTTACTCACCTGAAGAATTTACAAGTTTGACACTAAGGAGACATGCTGAATGGCTGGCCTTCTGAAACTACACTACACATATATCTCCCTCTAAAAATCTAGCATAATTTGTGGTTCCTTAGGTTGACTTGTATACAACTAATGTTCATCAAGCTCACCCAAGCTCCAAATGCTGAGGTCTGATGCAGTCGCCTAGCAACGGCTCCATCCACAACTATAAATACAAATGGATGCTAAGAGGTTTCTTTGCTTGTTTTGCTCATGCTTGTTTCTTTCATAGTCTATGAAAGAAACAAGCATGAGGTTTTGACATAAATAGTATCTAGAAATTACATTGAAACACCAAGGTCCATATTTCCTTATGATCTGAAAAACACTAATTGGAAACTTTTTAAAAAAAATTATGCCCACGGATGAGGTAAATGATTAAGGGCAATACAAAAGTTATTCAAGGTTTCAAATTTTGTTTCACACAGAAAAACAAAAGAAGGCAGTCACAGAAAAACAACCAACATCGACAGATAGCAAGGCCCTATCCTTTTATACATTAGTTTTCATTTGCCAGCTTCAGTGAGTCTTTATTCCACGTAATACTCTCAAAAGGAGAGGTTACAAAGGAGTCAGTCTATTACCATGGCAACACACAGATTTACTTGATTCCTTACAACGTCCAAACTCATTGATAGAGGAACACCTCCGGTAAAAGAACAGCGCCAGAGTTTAGGTTCTAAGTAACAACTATGGTAACACTATATGATAGAATAGGACACGCTGTGAAACTCTCTTCCATAACGTCAGTGTTGCCAGCAGAGTTATCCACCAGGCATTAAAACATTTTCACTTGTCCATCAATTTTCCCTGATAGCTCTGTGCTACCACAATTCAGTACCCTAGGCTCCAGGGTCATGACTGATTCAACCTCAGGAATAGCGCAATGAGGAAGTCTGCTCCATACATTATGGGCCTGTTTGTTTACGGATCTGGATCTCAACCAGTGATCCTAAAATATGGCTGTGCTGAATATCTGAATATTCGATTGATTATCGAATAGTCAAATACTATTTTCCAAATCTGAATATTTGAATTCAAAATTCATGAAAGGAAGGGAGACTTTTTTTTGTTTCAAATGAGAAAAATTGCGTTACGGAGGCTTGTTTTGACCAGATTCAAAGAAATAGAAATTATCAACAGGGCAAGACAGTATTGTTCATCTCTTAAATCTTGTTAAATCGTGGCTGGAGATACTCCTAGATGTAAGAAGCTATTGTAGTGAGTATAATGTACAATTGTGTGCATTATTGCAACTGATTTTGTATGGTTTAATCATCAACAATCCGCCTGTCGGTAAGACCGAATATTGGGAAATTCAATTGAATTGAAGGTTGAATATTTGAATAGTGAATTATTTGAATCGACTCAGCCCTATCGGTATCCCAATGCTAGTTCACTTATCCATCAGGCAGGTTCTGGTGTCAGTGAATGAAATGTAGGTTCACTGATCGCGATCTGGATCAGGGCGAAACACATGGGCCCATAGACCAGAGTTTATGAAGTTGAATACGCACAGTCGAGAAAGAATGATGTCAAGTAGAAGCCAAGGAACCATGGTGGTTGCTTCAAGAAAAACCACGACACCAGCAGCAGCAGTAACCTCACATAACCTGTTGGCAAGATCATTATGATACAGTTAAGATCTTTTATACAGAGCAGCAGAATACAGATGTTTGTGAGTGCTGTGGTAAGATCTATTACACGAGGTGAGAGATGAAATGTTCCATTCCACGACGTAACGCCGAGTAGAATGGAACTTCATTTACATTTGTTTTAGGCAGTACCTGCATATATCCTCTTCTGTGAGGAGAACAAACAGTCCTCATGTATAAATATTTACGTTCATCATTTTGCGAAACAAATTTGTGTCCGCAGCACCACCCAATGGTTGCACTGTGCAATGTTAGACTGGTTCCTATCACTACATTATTTTCCTCATGTCTTACTAGAATGCAATATATGAAATGGGGGTGGGAACCAGTCAAGTGAAAGGAAGATCTATTCACTGGATACTGTGGAATAGAATGAATGTGATCAATGATCACTAATCAAATGATGGGATTTATGCACTCAGCACAAAATCTGAAGGAGTCCAATTCAGGGAGATTGTATATTTGGGACCCCATTTTTGTCATTTTTTTTCTTATAAAACTGGTCAGCCCCCCCCCAAAAAACAAAGGCAATGCTCTCTTTATTGCGTTGACCCTAATTTTTGAAATTTCAAACTGGAAATTGTGAGTAAATGTGACTTTCTTACTGATAAACCGTGTGCGTGTGTGTGCCGACATGACACGCTTTTTGTGAATGATCCGCTAGGCCGGCACGCCCTGACGTCGTCTCCAGCACACATTCAAATCGCTTTTTAAACGACATTGCAACTTCAAGCTCAACAACAAGACTGTTTCCAATTTAAGGGGACATTTCTCTTTTCTTCCCAAATGTGAGTAAACCTTACCATCATTATTGGAATCGCCAATTCTCACTTAATCCAAAGCCGGACGCATTAGACAGTTTAAGGACCACTGTGTGAAATGAATGAATGGGATGGAAAGCCTATGGAAGGTACTTCGACCCCAATATTGCCTGACCATGCCGATGTGTTAAAAAAGGCAATCTATAGGGTCCAAGTTGAAGTTACTCGGACTACATTGCCATACTGGGTAGCACCAAAGACTACAAAGTTCAAGTTGGGCATGAGCCATGGACACAGTTGGGGCAGTGACACATTTGGGGTGTAACATTACAATACATATGAAGAGTAGTCCCAGGCCGGATGCAGCTCGGCTTAGGCCCGAGGGCTAGGCACCGGTGTGGCACGGCCCAATGACAGACCATGTAGGAAGGAGTGGACAGACATATCATATTATGACATGACACTTCGTCTTAACGTCTTCCGGGATGCACGTAATCTTTGGGTTTTATTTCTTTATCTAAGAAAGCAAAACTTTTAGTATAAAGAGATCGAGGCCTTTTATACTTACTCACCAATAATATTAGGAATGTAACAATAGATGTTCTTCATAATGTAGTTTAGCTTTTCTTTGCAGACGGTGCATTCGTGGAGGAAGGAGGGGAACGATACGTTCCTGATACAGTGGAAAATGATGTTTATTTACTGAACGTGCGCCCTCAAGTGTCCCAATAATACGACTGACGACGGCTACTGCTATCAATCATCCCAAAGGTAGATAACGATCTCTATGATTGGCTAAAGGAAATAGGGTGATTAAAGCTAAAGTCTTTTAGCTGACAAATTAGGTAATCGCTTAAATGATCTGCAAGTGAAGTTGCAAATCCGCAGACACGGAAGCTAGATGGACATGGCGCTGTACAGCAGGAGAACATTGCTCGTGTTTTATACAATTCTAGCGATTCTGCTTCTCAGTTTGTGCATAGAAGGAAGAATTTCATACAGGAAATATGAGGAGCAGCAAGTGGATACTTCGAAATACCACAACCACGCTGAGTTAACGAGATTGATGCATCAATATGCTACGGACTATCCGGCAATAACAAAACTGCTCAATGTCGGCACCAGCGTGGAAGGTCGCGAACTGTGGGCCTTGCAGATCACCGACCGGCCCGAGGAGGTGGAACGGGGGGAGCCCTGGTTCAAGTATGTCGGTAACATGCATGGAAACGAAGCTGTCGGGAGGGAGATTTTGATATTCTTAATTCAGTATCTGTGTCAAAATTATGAAGTGGACGATCGAATCACAAACCTCATTGACAGCACAAACATATTCATAATGCCGAGTATGAACCCGGATGGCTTTGAAAGTGCAACTGAAGGCGATTGCACGTCAGTAACAGGAGGTCGGGAGAATGCAAATCGTGTGGATCTGAACAGGAATTTTCCAGACCAGTTTCGGTCAAGGGATCCCGTCTTGGAACCAGAGACACTGGCCCTGATAAACTGGATTGAGAGAAGCCCCTTTGTGTTGTCGGCAAACCTCCATGGTGGTAGTGTGGTCGCAAGTTACCCTTTTGATGACTCTGCAAAGCACCACAGTAATGTTTACAGTGCAGCACCAGATGACGATGTCTTTAAAATGCTTGCCAGGGCCTATGCCAACAACCATTTGACGATGGCTCGCAAACGTCCTCAGTGCTACACAGGAGAAAACTTTCCTGGGGGAATAACAAATGGAGCTCACTGGTATGATGTTCCTGGTGAGTGTCGCCTTCTCTAAATACCAGAGGCCCACTTTGTGGGAGCTCAAAATCAAACAAATCTTCAATTTCTGTCATTAGGTGTTTGTGAAATTGAAAATGTTACGCCCCAACTACATGTACATGTATAGCGTCTGTCCCAACTGTAGTGCTGCAGTTGGACTGACCCAACTATTGTCGACAAATTTCTATTGAAATTTTCTCAACCTTATCCAAGTAAATGCATCTTACACTTGACACAATTCATCTGAAATGTGGCACTTACCTATGACATAACACAGCCTCGCAGGAAGCCATGAATATGACTTTGGCACATGCTGGCCACATGCACACTACTGGACCTCTGTGCTGTAGTTGAGCTGGCCTAACTATCTTGCAGTGAGGGCATAAAAATTTTTTTTTGGTACTGGCTAGCAGAGAACTGTGACAATCTGGTTAGAGTTCCATATAAGAACATCGCTAATTTTATTCTGTATGTGGTATATCTAACCTTAGCAGGTGATAACATGTCATAAAATGTCAAATTTAGCCGGGAAAATATTACCTAGAAAAAATTGGATTTTTTAGACCAGTCTCCTAAGATTCTTGCATGTTGAATGTGAGAACGGTGTTGACAAAAGCTTTTGTAACAGCCTGCTTTGAAACCACTAAAACACATTTCTCAAAGGAAAATTGAACGACATAGATATCACACATCAGATATTGATTGATGGGATCTGCTTATTTTACCAGATCAAATACTCCCATGAAAAAATGGCACACATACATGTACATAATTCAAAAATCCTACATTTACCAAATTGCTACCTTGAATCGTTTACCCACTAAATTACCTCCTTGTATTGTTTATCATTTGTATTTGAGCTCCAGGAAACTTGGTTAGTGTGGCCGACTTTTTGTGTCTGCCACTGATGATCTGAGCATGTGTTTTGACGTTTCTCCATTCAAGTCATGGACTTGGTTGATAATTTTTTGGGGGACAGAAGTTACCAAAATATAGTTAGTAACCTGACTTGAACTTTACAAAAAAGCTGGAGTTTTATCTGTGTGCCAGAGTTTTTTGAGAGTTCACAGTTCACCGTAAACTGCACGGACAGTACATGAAGTGCACATACAGATAACTGTAAAAACAAGGTACCAAAATGACTACAAAACATCCTGGATTCTTGTCGACAAACTTTATTTCACCAAAGCACACTACATTTATCTCACGTACACAATACTCCTCAAATGTGAAGTCTTTTTGTGCTTTGAAGTTTTTGTTTTTCAGCCATGCGGATGCCTTCTTGTTCATGGGATCAATTGCCCAAAATGCAAAACATTTTGCCTGGCTGAATTTTAACTGATTTTAACTGTGCTTAAGAAATTACTGTGCTCTTTCTAAGTTGGCCCTAGTTGGGAGCCAACGCAGAGCTGTTATAAAAAAAGGAGAACACCGCTTGACAAGCCTAGGATGCACAGAGTCACTGGCTTGCCGTCTTACAGCGCCCTCATTTTTGATCCTGCAGGGGGCATGCAAGACTACAACTACCTGCACAGCAACTGCTTCGAGATCACCATTGAGCTGTCCTGTTGTAAATATCCCAAGGCCAGCCAGCTGACCCAGGAATGGGACAACAACAGGGAAGCCCTTCTGGCCTACATGGAAATGGTGAGCATATCTGGACATGATCAACCACTTGCAGCAGTACCGCCAGGTGTTATTCTTTGCAGAAAAACACATTGAGAAAGGGGACATCTGTTCTTTGTACATGTTCATATATATCTATACGTACATGTATGTTTACATGAAATATAGATGGACCCACTGTTTAACCCCTTCTCGGCGGGAATTTCTTTCCGAAAGCCGACTCCAAGAATTCTAGCCTTGTTTGGCCACGAAGGCCACCTGCCAAACGGCAAATTCTCAGTTTGTGGCCCAGCGTGCTCTTCACGCTTTGAATTACATGGTGAAAAGGCTGATTGTTCGGTGATATGCGGCTCTACTCAAGCTTCCACATTCCCGTTGCCTCATTTCAAAGTGGGGACTATTGTGAAGCTGGTGATTATGATGCAAATCCGGTCTTTTCATTTCTGGGCTACACACAAAGACCAATTACCGTATACACAAGAGCCAGGGTTTGCCTTCTTTCACCGTGTTTGTTCGAGCATGGGCCGAGAATAATAGCTGAAAAGCGGGCTGAGGATCTCAATTTTTACGGCGTGTCTTAACGCGTCCCGGCGTGAAGGGGTTAAATGCTCAGCTACATATAAATGCAACAAATATTGTGTCTATACAGTACCGTATTTGAGATTCATCTACACTGTATAATCCATGTAAATATACGCACGGTACCCGGTATGTTTTCTTCCTTGTCCCTGTCAGTTCTACCCCAAAATATTCTGAGTAACACATCAGGCCCTCTGATTACAAAGGATGTTCCAGGATTTATCAGTCCTGCTCACAATAAGCTGATAATGTACATGTGTATTTATGGGCCTTACCCAACTGTATCAGGGTTATATATTGTTTTATGTTCAAACCTCTTTTATTTTCCACTAACAAAAAAGGGACCAGTAATTTCTCTGTTGTAAGGGTTTGAAGAATGCAGGTAATGCTTTGGAAAACAGGCGTACATGGACATGTACACACATGTATGTACATTTGATGATTGTCAAGCGGCATCTACATGTATGTGAATAACAAGGCTATGACACAACAGGACAAATCAATTACTGTGTGAACATACATACCGGCTCTGTCAAGTTGCGCCCTCTCACAGATACTGTCTGCAAGAGGTTTTGTTTTGCACCAAATGCATGTGCATGTGTACCCGTACTGGAATATGTCCATGTACATGTACTTGGATTGTACGAAGAATGAATCACCCGGTCATGGGTGATTCCAGCAATTAGGGGTCCATTTTTTTCCCTGTCCCAGTCGCATCTGACATATGATTTTGTAAGTGCAGAACACATTTTCCAATTTCCGAGAGTGATGAATTAATACAAATTACCTGCTAAACAAATAGAAATAGTTTGAAATCAATTCCAGTGATATTTCCATGTCGAATGACAAAAGTCAGATGTAACAGGGACACAAAAATGGCACACTTTTCGACCCCTAATTTCTGGAATTACCCTCATTAGGTCTGTGCCACTGACACTGTAAATGTGAAATCAGTCCTAATTTCAAAGATACCTTACAGAATACTTCCTGAATTATGCAAATGCTACATTACTGTAAAACCAAGGGTGGATCTACATGTAGGATAAATTCTTTTGGGGGTGGGCCAAAATTGTGTCCATGGGGTGTCATAGATGTTGGCACTCCAGGGATTTGTCGGAGTTCAGGCTACATGACTGTGCTTTTTATGCGCCTTTCAAAAGAAGGGAAATTAAAAAAGAATTTGTTTTGTTTGGGGAGGCATGACCCATTTGCCCCTCTCCGAATCCACCCTTGCTGTTAACCAGTGTCACATCTTTGTACATACACTCTTACATGTACTTCATATTGTAAGGGCACATGCCCCATGATATACATGTCAATGCCATTTGGATGCATGTGACACAGGTTAAGAAAAGCAAAGCAATTTTCATTCGAAAAAATGTTTATTGTCTAACACTTAACTCTGCACAATAATACGTTCATGTACTTCACAGTCATTCTTTCTTTCTGCCATTCAACCAGGTCCACCGTGGGGTTAAAGGCTTCGTGTACGATGCGTTGCGGAATACTGGTATCCCTGGTGCCCGCATTGCGGTGGAGGGCATCGCTCACAACGTCACCACCGCCCAGTTTGGTGACTTCTGGCGTCTGCTAACACCCGGGACATACGTCATCTCAGCTGAGGCTGATGGGTAAGATGAGGTGTTGGTTTCGATCTTCCTCTGGACGAATGAGCTAAGTAAAGTGTCTGGCAAAAACTTGTTGGTCTTGTTGGCTTTTCACGTCAGGTACCGGCCAGGCGATGCCCAGACGGTGGTGGTGACAGACGGAGACCCAAAAGAGATTGAAATCTTCCTGGTTCCCAAAGGCAGTCCAGATATGCTGGACCTGAAGACCAAACAAACCGAGGATGTGGAGGGAGAGATCAAAGAGGAGGAAGCAGAAGAGGAAAGTGAGTCTGCCTCTGTCTGCCAGTTTTGCTCAGATAGATTCAATTTTCACTCAAAGCACTCTGCTGTATTTGAGTCCATTGCAATTCTTACAATCACTCAAGCCTGCCCAAACAGTAGTTCAGTCAAGGTTCCCCAGGAAAAAAGTCCTCCACTAACAAAGTACACGTATTTTGGAAATACTGAAGGAATTTTTTTTCCCGGGAAAAGTTGACTGCTCGGTGTGAAGACTTGATCAGGAATAGAACTGTTGACAATGTGACAAAACTTTCAAAAGTGCCTCAATTTTATGTCTCAATGAGTGATACTGCACACCTATCAAAGTCTTATCATCGCTCATTATATGTAAAAGGGGAATTTTACGTGCTACCTACCCCCCCATGCAACATGTTACCAGGCATTTTACATGTTACATATACCTACATGTGTACCCCTGAAAAAAACATGTTACAGGTTTGCTCACTTACTGTGCATTTAGTTTGCCCTTGATACATTGTTTTGAATTGTATTTTTCTAGGACATTTGGTACTTCGAGCTGTGTGTATATTATGTATTTCCATTTGGTCATATTGGAAATACCCCACGATCCCATGACTAAGGTGCTAAGGGAAACTGCATATAATCAAACATTTCCTGTTTTTACCAGAATGTCAGCACTGCCAAGAGAAGAATTATTGAAGGAATTGGGAGGTGGGGTACACTTTTACAGTTATGTGGAAGGCATTTTGGTGTTTAATTTGAATATGGGATCCAGTCTGTCATATGGAGTTCCACACAGGCATTGAAGTTAAACCCTCTATCAGAGCAGGTTGAGGGAGGGAGGAAGGGGGAATTCTGGCTGCAGACTGCATCTGCAGTACACATGTAATCTGAAGTGTCAGAGGTACACCTTGTATGGCCACAACCCAACTTTGGAATGATCTGCTGTCTTCCTGAGCTCTGTACTCGGTGACTGAACCCACTTTCACATTTTACTGTACCTTGAACTGTAAGATGCAGTGCTGTCCTTTAAACAGTCCCCTGTACAAAGCCCACAAATGTTACACACTGTGTGAACTGATTATGTGCAGTGTGTAAGGGGAACATGTCTGACAGAAGATCGTTTCTCCAAAACGATGAATCTCTGGGTGTCTCTCAGTTTTCCAGTCCTCAGACAGGATGAAAGACATGTATACATGTGATACACGTACATTGCACCATCATCTGCACATCTTCCAAAAAGCGTCAAGAGAGTGACCACAGATTTCGAAGTTAAAATGGATCAAACATTTGAGCAAGTCTTCAAACAAATCTCACGTTTTCAAGTTGTGCATGTTAACGTATATGTAGATTACTCACAGAAGAGCTACAGTGTACATGTACATATACGGTACAACTAACTGACATGTACAGTGTACAGTACAGTTCAAACTAGTGGTACCAATACCCGAGGCAACCTGTATACATTCACAGTGTGCTCTAAATAGTGAATGCTTTGTACTAAGAAAGGTTTTATCAAAAATAGCCACATTATTGACAATGTTCGAGTTTTGTTGCAGTCTCACAACCTTTGCTTGGCTGACTTATGCCTTTGGTACACTGTAGGAAAAAAAAGGATTGACTGTATGCCTTTTGTTGCATGCTAAGCTCAACAAACGAGCAGGCAGAACGCTTCAGGCAATGCCTGGCCTTGTTACCGTAGTTCTGATGGTACGTGTATTAAAATGGATTACTTGATGCTCTTTGACAATGCATGTTTACAATGGATCAAGGTTTGTTGAAATGGCAAGTTTTGTTATGGCCTTGCATTTGGCCCTTCAAGTCAAGTTCCCGTGTGGTTGTAAAATGCAGACAGCATAAGAGATGTTCTAGATGCAAATAGTCGGGGAAAAGACGATTTGTGACATCATTCAACAAATAATAAACGAAGACAAACTTGTATCTGAAATCCCTAAAATATTTGTGTAAAATGCCGTTTGTGAGAATTTCTTGAAGCTTCACTGTAAACTGGTACAGTGCGTCACTTTATTTATTAAATATTGAAACCACGTGACTCTGTGCATTTTGATTAAGTGTCTGTGAAATATTGTTCCCAGGCGGGAACATGAAGGAAATGTGAATGTCAGATGTTTTTACCATTTTACGAGTTGAGTTTTCCCCGTACCTGTAGTGTAACATTAAAGACCAGTCTGTTTGGGTTGGCAATAGTGTGAGTGCAGTCAATCAAAATAGTTTACAGCAATACTTGAAATACTCAACAAGTCCTGAGATGCTTCCTGGTGAAATGTTGTTTGCCACTTCAGCTGGCCTTGCTTCAGTGTGTTTTTCAACTCTCTTCCTTCCCCTAGTTATTGAGCCGACACTCTTCAAGCATTACCACTACGAGGAAATGAAGACTTTCCTGCAAGCCTACGCCAACCAGTATCCACACATCACCAGCCTGTACTCTGTAGGGACCTCAGTGCAGGGAAGGACACTGTACGTACTGGAGATCACAGATAACCCAGGAGTTCATGAGCCTGGTAAGAAGAGTTGCACTAGAGGTGTTTGGCTGGAGATTTTGCACAGTGCCTGTTAGCCTGACTGGACACTCTAGCTGTAAGTTTTTAATCAGTATATTTGACAGTGGTACTCTGTTGTTTCCACAGGCGAACCGGAGTTCAAGTACGTCGCAAATATCCATGGCAACGAGGTCGTTGGCCGGGCCTTGGTGCTGAACCTGATCCAGTTCCTCTGTGAGAACTACGGCCGGTCGGCGGAGATCACAGCCCTGGTAGATAACACACGTATCCACCTCATGCCCGCCATCAACCCGGATGGGTTTGAGAAAGCACATGAAGGTGAGTTACAGATTGGCTTGTTAAAAGAGCACTGTCTGACATATCTGAATAGTTAATTGAGACTACAAACTGATACAGCAAGCAGAATTAGAAATCGTAACCGGTATCCTGGCTCTGTCATTGAACAGCCACGCCACGCACTTTGAACAGTAGGCTCTCCACTACCAGCCAGTATCTAAAGCCTTTTTCCCTCACTGACTTGATTGACAGTTCTAATGGTAGCCTTGATGCAAGTCGCCTGCACATCGATCAATGCTGCCAAGAAGGAGTTCTTAGCAGCATTGATCGATAGACTTTTGTGTGTTGGCCTTCAGGAGATGTACAGGGCACCGATGGCCGCAATAATGCTCACAATGTGGATCTGAACCGCAACTTCCCCGACCAGTATGGGCCAAGCGAGGGCCGGCCACAGCCCGAGACATTGGCCATGATGCAGTGGATCCAGTCCTACCCATTTGTTCTGTCGGCCAGCCTCCACGGCGGGTCCCTGGTGGCCAACTACCCATGGGACGATAACAAGCCAGGAACTGCGGGTTACAGTAAATGCCCGGACGACGATGTCTTCATTCAGATCACCGAGGCTTATTCAATGGTAGGTTGTTGGTTGGAATCTTTACTATGTTACACCCAGCAAGATTCTGTGTGCTTGACACCACACCAGTAGGACGATGGTTGAAGTGAAATACAAACTCACTGAACTGGTGCCAAAAATTCAGTAACATTTGAATTCAGTATATCTCTTTCACCTGTGTTTGGACATGACAAATAACTATGCTGAGTTTCATACGAGATCATGCGTTGTTGTGGATAGTGCTCGCGGATCTAAGGAGCTCTCTTTCCGCTATTTTTGCTTTGCAAGGTTACATGTATCTCAATGTACGTGTCATATGCATTGGTAGAAACATCCATTTCTTCTCACAGGCTCACACCACCATGCATCTTGGTCATCCGTGTCCGAAACTCTACCCCCATGAAAACTTCAAAGAGGGCATCACAAACGGAGCTGCTTGGTACAGTGTATCAGGTAAGGACAATCTTGCATTTACCCGCTGAAGATAGAACTGATGGACAATTGTGTGTGACTTAAAGGGACCATGAAATAGAAAGATTTTTCTAAAACCCTTGAAAGTGCACCTTTGGGTTTCAAGTAACCTTATTTTAAATTTTTGTTGTGTAATTTAAACCCATATTTTGGAGCTTTTTTGGTATTTATGCCAATGCACATTTGCATATTCATAAGCAGAACTATGATGTCATCCAAGGCACTGAATCTCAATGCTGCACCAATTAGTGCACAGAAAATTCCCAGATTTTTAAACGCTGCTATTGTAGATTTAATTTCCTTTGGCAATTTATTGTTGTGTTAGTATATGGCAATTACAAGCAACCTTTTCACAGAAATGTTTTCAGATAGCAAATTAAATTTCTCCAAATTTTGGAGAAAACAATTTGAACATGAAACATGCAAACTGAACCATGTCTTGCAGGACTTACATGGAAGCAAAAGCACCCTCACTTGTTTGTAAATGTTTGGTCAGTTTTGAATGTTTGAAAAGTGCACTTTTCAGTTCATGTAACCCAAAAAAGGATGTCAAACAGTCTTTATGAATTGAAGAAGAGTACCCTGATACACAAAAACTGCTGCTCAGAAAAATTCATTTCATGGATCCTTTAATAGTTGAGGACGAAAGAAGGTCTTGTTGCAATTTGTACAGGTGGCATGCAGGCTGGGGACCAATTTTCAACTAAAAATGCCCCAGGCCAGGGGTCAATTCTTGTGACACAAATGGAACTAATGGATTAGGTTTGTGAAAACTAAAGATATAAGCCCTAAGTTTTGCACTGTTTCCTTTATCATGTTAATCATAAAAGGTGGGATGCAAGACTGGAACTACCTTCACAGTAACTGCTTTGAGATCACCCTAGAGTTGGGCTGTGTCAAGTACCCATGGGCCAAGGACCTGAAAAGCTATTGGGATGCCAACAAAGTTGCCATGTTGGCTCTTATAGAGCAGGTGGGTCCGTAACCCTTCACCTTTCTGCAGATTACAGAGACATCGCTCGGCATCACTTTGGTTTGTTTTGGAATGAGAAAAATTGTGTGTCTATTTTTCTGCTTCCTTTGCATTTGATATTGGGCATTGGTCATACTTCTAGGCGTGTTTTCTTCAGAGTTTTCCCTTTTTTTCTCACCAAATTAAATTAAACCTAAATCAACCAAGCAACAGACACTGAACAATCAGTGACAGCTTGTATTGAAAATTTTCTGCACGTTGTGACAGGTCCAGAAAGGAGTGAAAGGCTTCGTGGTGACCAAGCAGGGCAAAGGCATCGACAACGCCACCATCAGCGTGGCGGGGATCGATCACAGCTTGGTCACCGCCGTGGACGGTGATTACTGGCGGCTGCTCGTACCCGGAACATATGAGATTACTGCTGCTGCTGATGGGTAAGAAAAGTGCTTGTACGCTTGATCTTTTGTAAGACATCCTCAGAGCACCTTTGTTGTCAGTCTTGGGAAGATCACTGGCAGGTGCGCGGGACAGACAGTTCAATTCCACCTATTCTGTTTTTGCATAGTTTTTGTTTGTTGTGTAATTTTTTGGTTAAAGGATAATATTTTGGGATTGTTTGACTTTACTTTATTCTCAAAGCATTTAAACAGCCATAAAATGTAGCTTTGCGTCTGAGAAGGGCAGCGAAATTATCTGCACTCCTCTTAAAAAATTCTTCTTATCCAGCCGTGATTCAGAAGTCATTTTCAAAGGGGTTACTGGATGTGTAACTTGTAACTGTTGAAGGGGGAAAGACAAGTAAACCTTTTACACCAGATGTCACCTGTTTTTCATTTGTCACATTAATTGTTAAAAAGTTATTCATTGCAAATTTCTTGCTCTTGAGTATTGTAGTACTGCAGTTGGAATGTCAATGATGTGGCATTCTTTTAACAAATTTTTGTATTTTATTCAGATTTGTTCCGCAGACTCAGACTGTTATCGTCCCTGAAGACTGGGCGGCAATGCTCAATTTCACCCTGGGGCGCAGCAGGGGACAGCCGCCCAAGGAGAAGCCAGTCAACACCGTCCTATCCGACCAAGACTGGGCCAAGACGTTCGACTTTGGCCTGCCACAAAACTTTGCCGGCTACCTCTCTAACCTGGATTTGGCGGCTAAGCTGGAGGAGCTGGAGACCAAGTACCGAGCCTCCGGGGTTCTGAGGTTACTGCCCCTGGGGACCACCGCAGCCGGCCAGGATGTGACCGGGGCAATACTGACTGCCCCCAGCGCCCAAGGCGACATAAGCGACCGGCCGCGGGTGGCTCTGATCGGGGGATTGAGAGGGGACGAGCCAGCCGGGCGGGAGATTCTATGGAGGCTGATCCAGCATTTGGCAGAAGGTAGAGGTGCATTATTGCTTCGCACAGATTCCAAGAATAAACAAACTCATCTTTGCAGTCTGGTTGAAGCGCTAAGGAAAAGGCTTCAAATATTTTGACGTCTAGGGTTCGGAGGCAGATTGGCCACCCAAAAACCAGTATACAATGAATTTGTCTCCTGAAAATCAACACCAGAGAAATAAGAGGCAATTTCTTTCCACGACCAACTGGGCTAATTTTGAAAAATTTCGTGAATGTTGGGTTGATGACATCATTTGGGAGAAAGGTACAGCAGGCATGCATGAAGCATGCATGTAAACTGGCATCGTTGCGGCCCAAATGCATTAACCCTAACCCTCCTCAATCCTTCACCTGTTGGAGGACTGAGGAGTGTTAGGGTTAAAATGAGTTTTGATGATGTGTACAAAATGCACAATATACATGAATCTCTAAGATGTATTTCAAATCTTACCCTTAGCTGGTCAAAATAATTGTGAGATCTGTTCTGAAATGGAATACGAGATGTTGACATATTTTTTGAGGCATACGCGTGAGAGAGCACTCTTGTTCACGTGCAGTGTGGCGACAGATTATTCACAGAATGACGCGGTTAGCGTAGGAGTCAGTACCCAGACCCGAATCTTGGGCTAAATTGTGGGTTACCTTGTAATGCGTGCACACATAGCTTCTAGAACAACCCACATGCGGGCTTGTTTATTGACAAGTCTACACTTTTCAAGAGATAAACACATGTAGGATTCTTCTCATGAAAGTGAGTGGATTCAGTTACTATGAAAGTAACCATTTACTCGTTGATGAATGAGGACGACAGCACAGAACTTGGCAGTGTTGCGGGGCTGCTGTGGGGGTCCCAAACCTGGCTGTGGTCAAGCGAGAAAGATACATATGTTTATACACTCCCATGTGATGTTTTGGGGTCACCGGCATATCATTAATACATAATGAGTGCGTTTGAAATCGGCCAAGATAGGACTCTCAGAATCCCATTTTGTGGACATTTTTTTTTCGGCCATGAATGGGAAAAGTGCTCAATTTTTTTCATGTTAATTTTGAAAGATTGTCTTGCAATGTATTGTTTAAAGGTTGTAATTGGGGAAAGAAGGTTTTTTTCCCCTAAATGTACCTCTTTAAAAGAAAATGAAATTAATTGTATAAAAGTTAATTACCAGTTACAAATTAAAACAAAGCAAGTAGACAAATATACTAATTACAAGGATGACGAATAAAGAAGAAAATAACAAAATGAGCATGAACAACATCAACACCAAAGTACATGGATCAGGTAGGCTTGATGGATTGCCAAAAAGCACACACAGCTCCACTTTTATACAGCTTATCTTGAGCATCTTCAGCTACAAAAGTATTAAATGAGGAAGAACCAAGCAAGCAAATACTTCCAGTGCAACAACATGGCTACTCCACAATTGTAATATGGGTGACAATTGCAGCATTTGCAGTGGCGAACAGAACAACGCCACACCAGCAAATTCACAGAATGTTCAGTGCAGCTAGCAAAACAAGAGGGGCAACATTTATTTGCTTATATATATCGGTTCATCCAACTGCACATTTAGTGCCATTTACAGGATGAAGTTATGATAAGAAGACAATGAAGAAATGTACAGGTTTAGAGGTGGGAGGAAAACCTAGGATGAATATCCCAGGGAAGACCCACACAGTGAGGCAGGGACTGAAAACACAATCCACATGCTGACCTAGGTGGGATTCGAACCCGGGTCACAGAGGTGAAAGGCCAACCTGACTCCTGTAAAGAACATCAAGAGAATAATCGGAAAGACAACCATCTCAACAGTACAACCATGAGAAACAAAATCAGTACAACACAACAACAAACAACGACATCTGCAACAGTGCAACGCAAAAACAACAGCAGTGAGCTTACTCCTCATGGTCATCACATGTCATGGCCCCTCACCCTACTAGGCTATGAGAAAGGCGACACAGGTGTCAGCGAGATCCTCAACCGCACCTCCATCGTTGTGGTGCCATCCATCGACCTGGATGGCTTTAACAAGTCCCAGCAAGGCGACTGCCAAGGAGAACACTTCACTGGCGAGTCTTTTGACCACAGGATTGCTCCCGATGGGACCTTGGTAAGACACAGCATGAAAATGCTTCCCTGGAATTAGCTACGTTTCAGTCTTTACTTGTGCTGCAGAAAAAGATGGAGCCCAAGCTGTGAAAACAGCCGTGGTGTCCGTATTCAATGCATCAACAATGTACATGTATGTTTAGATCGGGAACCAGCCAACATTGCCTCATACCCTGTGCAGATCGTGCGTGTGATCGCGATACATGTTTAGTACATGTACAGTGCATGTGTGTATGTACATTCATAAATATGAATAATAATGGAATTGCGCCTTGATTGGCTTTCCAGATAATTGCACTATATAAATCTATATTATTACTAATATTCAGCGCATGTGGTGATTAGTAGTGCACTTCTGTCAAATCTGTGTACAATTAACATTAAATAAGTTAATGTACCAACTTGAACTTAACATGTTTATTGTTACATGTACTAATTGTACATAAGTTTTACTGTAGGCTGAGATCAAAAGTTATTGCTCGCCATTTTGCAGGCAACAATATGTTTTCCCTTCAGGGGTCAATTGATTACTTAAGTTCATAAAAGTGCTGCCGCCTAGCTTTTTCCCCATTAGGAGCCAATGGCTACCAAATAGTTTTTTCAGTTTACAGGGTTGTTTTGGGCCACAAATACTAACTTCAGAAACTCTCTTTTAACCTACCTATGCCTGATTCCAACTGAGACATTTTCAATTTTTTTTCATGTGTAAGGAAAATTGTCATTTGTAATGTTCACAGAAATTGTGGATTAAAAAGCTTCACATGTCCACAGAGGCAAATTGCTCAGACTTTATTGAAATACAATGCTTGTTCAGAGTGCCACCTTGTCACCTTTTTTGAGGGGGGGAGTGTTGATATCAAATCTCAAAAGCTTGTTTTTCTGACTTAACAGTGTCACATGTTGTGGTGCAAGAAGTCAGCTGACTTTTTTCAGCTGACTTCAACATTGCAGTAATCAGTGTCTAGTTCCATCATCCTTTTATGTTGCAGCTTTCCAACAGACCTGAGTTGGCTCTAGTGAAGAACCTGTTAACAGCCACACATTACACATTGGTGCTCAGCATCGAGGCTGGTGGTATGTGGGTCAGGTATGTTAGTACACAGAAACTAAAACATCCAGAATCTGCAATTACTTTAATGTTCTGTTAAACAGATGGTCTGCTGGTCCTGCACATTTATTTGAGATTTGGTCAGATTCCCGGGATATCATTAATGTAAATGCATGAAAGGCATTTGTACTGCCATAGAGTTCATGTACATGTGCTATACGTATTTTTTTCAGCACTCATGATCTCAAAGTCATTGAAAGCACTTACATTCAGTGTCTGAAATGATTTTTTTTGTTTGGTATAATAGATTTTTGTCAGCTCTGCTAGCTTGTTAAACTGCAACATTAACACTGAATTCCTTTCAACTCCTTAGATATCCTCTTGACACCACCGCTGCCAATAATAAACTCACCCAGGGAGCGGTCACAGAAGACGACGACCTGCTGTCTTACCTGGCCACGACCTACGCCCTGGACCATCCCACTCTGCACACGGAGGTGCTCTGCCACGGCCGCCGGTGCCACGCAGGGATTGTCCGGGGGTCGGACTGGATGTCCAAACCGGACACCCTACAGGATTACATGTACCTGAATCAAGGAACTTATATGGTGAGACTTCCAGTCAAATGAATAAATTTAGCATTAATCAAATTGACTCTTTGAAAAAAGGAGAGCCCGAAGGCCCCCCCAAAGTCTTTGTCTCTGGTCAGTGCACGTGTTGATTTCAAGCACGCACATCAATCTTTTTTTTTCTGTGCGAGAGCTGCACATCAATCTGTCTTTTTCTGTGTGAGAGCTCCAACGGTGCCCTCTATTGCTACACTGATTCATCATTTTTGCGGGCAGCTTGATATTTTACTCAGGGCGATAGATCCCAACAAGATTGATGTTGAACAATGATAGCAGACTGTGGATACAAAGTTGTTTGATGTCGGCTTATAATCATAATAAAGCTGGTCTAGTTCCATGACTCGACAACATGTGTCTGCAATTGTCTGTACAATCCAAACCCAGAGGGAAAAAAAAAAGACGCATTCCCACATCAATTCCGGAACATCAGTCTGACCAGAGACAAACAGTTTTTTTTGGGGGGGGAGGGCCTTAGTAATCTGTGGATGAACATGTGGGACCTGAATCTGTGACATAACCTGGAAATGGGGCTGAATCCGTGATTTTGACAAGGACTTGTCGTAACCTCAATATCACATCCGGTTATGTTCCGCTCATTCTTTCCCCATTTAGATTACCAGCCATGTGTCCTGTTGCAAGTTCCCTCCGCACACAGCATTGAAGTCACTTTGGAGAGAGAATCTCGAGCCTTTGATGGGGTTCATACGTCAGGCACACCAAGGTAGTGGTTCATTCTCAAAACAGTTACATGGACAATTTGCGGACACTGATGGAGGCTGACCACAACCATTCTGTTTTGTTAACAATGGACAATTCGTAAAAAGAAACTCGCTTTCTACCCAGAAAGTGCAAGCGATGGCATCTTTACTTCTCCCATTTCAATTTGATTTTGCATGCTCCCATGGGCAGTTTGGGTTAAGATTTTGTCTTCTTTATGACAACAGTCCTCCTAAATTTAAAAACTTAAACCAAGTGCATCCTTAGAAACACTCGGAACAGAGTACATGTAACCGCAAAAGCTGGGAAAATCGAACATTTTGCTAGTCATTTCATCTGAGCGATTCAGCATTGTTCAGGTGAAGGACCTTGGCTTGCTTAGGGACATGACAGCCATGATTTCTTGGAGTGGATCGCACTCTGTCTATTGTGAACGGGCCAGAGACTCTGAGTATATACAGTTTGGAAGGTACGATTATTTCATCTGATTCACAGGGATTCGAGGTGCAGTGCAGGACAGCGAGGGCTTACCCTTGCTCAATGCAACCGTCACGCTGGTCGGCCACGTTCGCAACATCACCCTCTCTGGTCCGTCTGCATGCTTCCATCGCCTGCTGCCACCCGGTGATCATGTGATTATAGCCCAGGCACCGGGATTAACGCCGATCATGAAGCACGTCACCGTCGAGAAGAACCAGGTAGGCACCTCGAATAAGGCAAGATTTTGCCTCCCCCATAAGTGTCGTGCTTGTGGCGAAATTGCTGTGATGAACACACATTGATGCAATGTGGGTACAGCAATGTATAACTGAATGAAATAAAGAAGTGAGTGTATTTGTGCAGGAAGCTACGTTCAACGTTGCAAGACCACACTAGCTGATGACCTCTCTGGCTCACCAGGAGGATCCCATGCATGTGAAACCCTTCTAGGTCCTAGACCGTGAGTGTGCCCATATTTTGACCAAGTTTTTGTTCACTTAAGTTCATCAGAAATCTGTTACTTTTCCAGATGCAGAAGGTCATCTTCAAACTCCAGAAGCCTGTCAGACTGGCGTATCACAACTATGAAACAATGGAGAAATACCTACGCCACCTGGCTACCAATTATCCCGATATTACCAACCTGAAAAGGTAAGGGCCGGCGACCATTTAGACCCGGTTTGAAAGGGCCCCCTGGTAGCCCACCCTGTATAATGCCTGCCTGGTATTCAGGCTACTCCAGGCCGGTATCAGGCCTGTCTGTACATCAGCATTTCAAAGTCCCTGATGAAGGGCTTCCCCCACCATGCTTCCACAGATGAATAGGGGTCTAAGCGGATTAGTGTAGACATTGTATAGAGCTGAAGGATTAAAAACCACAAGCAGCTTCCTTCTTGGATATATTACATGTACCAGTACTTGCAAAAAAATAGACCCCAGGATGGAGAAGTTCGAGATCAACAACTAGTCCAGCATCCCTGGCCGGTAGCCAGGCCGGTATGAAAGGGGTTTTTGCAACAGGGCGAGCTTACCGGGGGGCCCTTTTCAAACCGGTTCTAAATGGTCGCCGGCCCTAAACTAGTTGTTAACCCTTGGCTGCAACCCTCACGACGTACATGGTCAACGACATCTTGGGGCATGTTTGGGTGCTAAGTATAGTTTGACCAGTTGTCGGTTGCTTTTTAACAATGTGCACAGACATCTCTGTTCCGCTCAAACAACCCTAGTCAACCTGGTTTTCAAAATCTTGTTATTACTCACATTTCACCATTTGCTTTGAATCTCGTAGCATACATGGTCATTGAAATCTGATATAGTTATTTTCATGTGAATGGTTGCCTCCGTAATGATAAATGAAATCGGCTATTGATAACCAATGGTGCAACCATACCCCAGGGTCTGGTCTAAATGGTCGACTAGATAGTTCAAACCATCCCATCATTCTTGAGACCCTAGGGCCTGGTTCCAAATGGTTGATTAGATGTCCCTAACTCTGTCCTTCTGGTGGTATTGATTAATCCACAGTCAACTAGAATGCAAACCGACCGTAAGACGCTGTCAATGTGGTTTTGCAATGGTGGGCCACATTTGCTAAGTACTTGTTTAGCAGAAGCAGGTTGCCAGCTGAAACCATTTATGCTTAGCTCTGCTATACCCCAATTATATAGGGTACTGAAGTGAATATGTCACATGCACAACTGTTTGTGTAAAAGGCAAAGCGCGAGAACTAGTGTATGAATCAGCATTTGCCATGACTCCATTCGTTTTTGTTATTGTAGCGCCGGCGGGTTTGGCCGGTTGGGGCGCCAGCTGGGACCCGCATGGAGCTAGCTGTCTGCCCCCGCTGGTATGCGAACGGCCTGTGGCTTTCCCGTCTCGCGCCTGGCACAGTCCCCGTCTTAGACACCTCGTGTCTGGAGCTTTGTGTGTCAGACAGCCCTTTTGCTTTCGTGAAAATAAACATAGCAGTTTTGCCCGGAACGGAGATTTGAGCCTGACCGGGTAGTTCTTGTCAGCGTCAGAGTCCATAGACAGGATACGCTACATTATACTTCCTGGTTCAAAATGCCGTCACACTCCGGTACTCTGTAGTGTTGCATTGGGCTGGCCCAGCTGTAAGTCAGCAAATTTCAGTTGAAAATCTCTTGGCCTTCTCCACCTTTATACAACTCACACCTGCCAGAATTTGTCCAAAACATGACAAAAAATCTGGCATTTCAACCATCGCACACGTAACTGGTTTCTGCAAGCAGGAGTTGCCGAGATAAACAAGATCACATTTGCACATGCTCTGACACACACTAGCACTTCATGCTGTGGTCGGGACGGATGGTACAGTTGGGGCGTAACAGCTCTATTCGGGCCTCATTCTATCTGAAGAGAGAATCCCCTTTCTGATTGGTCTTCCATCTTTTTACAGCATTGGCAGGTCAGCCGCCTCCCACCAGCTCTGGACCCTGGAAATCGGGAAACACCCAGGCCATCACTCCCCGGGCAAGCCGGAGGTCAAATTCGTGGCTGGCATCCACGGTAACGAGCCAACAGGGAGGGAACTCCTGCTTGGGCTGGCTGATCATCTGCTGCGTAACTATGGCAATGATGATGTCATCACTAAGGTAGTTTGAAGTGAAAAAATTACAATGCACTCAGCCAAAGTGACCATTTTAAAATACCTTTTTAAATTAATTTGGGGCCTTAATCATAATACATCGCCAACAGATTCTCTATCTTGATTGGCTGAATACCAGTCACATGGCATCCCCCATTTAGGTACACTGGCATTCCCCATTTATGTACACTGTGTTTTGTCGTGCACAACCAAAAGAAGTTGACCGTTAGCAACAAAAGAACTGTACACATGATGACTGGCATTGTGTGCAAATGCTGCATGTCACGTGGCATTCTGATGCGCTATTGCTACAGAGCTGGGCTCAACCATTTTTTGAAGACATAGCTTGGAAAAGTGCTGGCCAATTTTCAACAAATTCCTTATTCCAAACTGATGTATTTTCATATGGAGCTAGATCCAGTTAATCAGAATCTGTGGGAGAGGTGTTATAAAAACAAAACATTGACTGCTTTATCTTGCCGTGGAGTAAAAGCTAGCCTCTCAAGGTGGTCCTTGGAGAAATGTGTTTTCCCCAAGGCAAGGTTGCAGAACAATGGAATGCTTCACGAATCACTGCTTGTTTTGATACCACACCACTGAAAGCACTCAGGATGCTGTGACACAGTTTGATAATGGTTTGCCAAGGTCCACAAACCTATATGTCAGTTAGGTCAAAGTTTGTATTTGATACCATTGTTACACAACATGGATTGTTTTACAGCCTATTGGCTAATTTGCCCTTTTTTCTGTCACATGGCTTTCAAATCTAACTCGCAACTTTTGTGGTGAGTGTTATAGTTGAAAAGGTCATTCTTCAGCAATTCGTAACAGGAATTGAAGGTCACAGTGAGATTTTGTTCACATCATCCGTAGCTGGTTGACAGAACACACATCCATCTGCTTCCCAACATGAACCCTGATGAGAGCGAGAATGCTTGGGACACACAGGGAACATGCACAGGAAATGTTGGACCGGCAAAGTCAGACCGCATTGACTTGGACAAAGACTTCCCAAGTGAGTCCAGCTCTCCAGTAAATTGGGGGTACCGCAAGCCGGTGCATCGCTATTTATCACCCAGCATGAGAAAACTGTGTAACAGGTTGCGAGCACTGCTGTTGAATGAAAGATCTTTGAGAGAATCTTGTACTGCGGAAGTCTGTAGGAACCTGTCTGTTTTTCACCCACAAGATGGATATTTACACCAGGATGTCAAACTGAATGCTACATCAAATCAAAGACCCCAGTTTGCTCTCTTCAATGTAAACTTAAACAACATTACTGAAAAAAAAATTGTCCCAAGACTCGTTTTGCAGAATACAGTCACAGTTTGGTCCATAAACTGGTGAGGAAAGCAAGGCATTATTTCCATGTTTTCCCCGAAACAGCCACTGGGCCCTACAGGGTAAGGACCCTGTTTTAGCCTTAATCTCCCCAAGGCACTTAATCCACTCACCTGTCGTAACTCTCCTTGAAGTCTGTGCCACAATCACCCTCGGCAGTTCCTGACCTTGCCCTTGGAACTTCTTACTTGGACTTGTGTGCTGAGCAATGCAAAGATTCCAATTCACAGATACCAATGAGACCCCTCTAGCTGGACTCTGCCCACGTTTGCCTGGCTTTATCTCTGTGCTATTAAGTGTAACTTTACAAAGATTCCTTTTAATCGCAACCGGCTTAAAAAGGCCGTTGTAGCATTGTGTCGCAGTGACACACCGTAGTTTGTTGCCATTCAACACCTGTCTCAGGTTTAGCAGTAAACAGGAGTGAAGCGGACGTTCGGCCTGAAACCAGAAATGTGATTGACTGGCTGCACAGCAGACCGTTCACCTTGTCTGTGGCCCTGTATGGCGGCACATCGGTAGTCAGATACCCTTACACAAGCAATCGCCACCCAGGTGAGAATATGCTTTATCGTAATCAGCACCCAGATTTACTGATGCTTTGAGCATACTGCCAGAGGTATACAGCAGACTGCCTACAGCAATAAGCAGGTGTACAGTTCACACACAAAAAAACGTACTGGCCAGTCTAACGAAAGCTTTGGCTTATGACATGTATCAAGTAGCGTACATGTATAGATTCTTTACTCCTGTACGTATTTACTATGGAATCCAATTGATGACAGCTGCCCTTGCATGTGATTGTATCAGTATTCAGCTTTTTTCGGTCAAATTTTCATTGACTTTCCAGCATATGCATCAAGAAATCTGCCCAATCCGACCCCAGACGATGATGTCTTCGTCCACCTCGCAAAAACATATGCCAATCTGCACCCCACAATGCATTTGGGTGCTCCGTGCCCAAATGATACAAGTAAGTGTTTGCATGTAGAGACTTTTCCCCAAATGAAGGCCATTTTCTTTTCCCCGAGCAAGAAGTTATTAAACTGTGTTACAAACAGTGCAGCTCCAACATTCGGAGCGTGCATGAGGCCCAGTTTCTTGGAGCCACTTGTTGGTTTAATGACAGAGAAAGTCTGCCAACTGTAGCATTTTAAGCTCTATGAGACTGTAGGCAGTGTTGTATGCGAGTCCATCACAAGTCCCTGTAAGTCTGTCATGAGTCATTCAGTCTTTAGCCAGTTCACAAGTTATTCAAATGAGCTGTGACAAAAGCATTCCTTTGTCATTGTTCACCCTGTTACTTATGACTGGCCTTGTGAAGGGACTTGTGACTGGACTTGTGAAGGGACTTGTGACTGGACTTGTGAAAGGACTTGTGAAGGGACTTGTAAAAGGACTTGCGATGGACTCGACTCCAACACTGACTGTATTAGCAAGCTAACACTCAAAGCCTTCAAGGAGACGTCTGTTACTATGTCACTGCAGTTAATACCAAGCAGTGATTTCCAGCCGAGCTGTTCTGTTGAGAACCTTGGCTTGGGACAAATAAAATGGCCATGTGCCCGCGCCGCCAGCGAAATCAAATGATACACTTCTGAGGTGGTACAGTGCCGAAGATAAATGTCCATCTCTCCTTCCTTTTGCTGCCTACAGTCACTGGATTCCAGGACGGCATTGTGAATGGAGCTGCTTGGGAAAACTATGATGGTAGCATGCAGGTAAATCACTGTTACATGTGTACCTACCACTCAAGACAACTGTCCTAAGGCTTCTCACTTTGTTGTGTTTCATGCGCTTTTAAGTAGGAGGGATTGGGTAGAAAAACACTTCAAGACGTGTCTATCAGCTTGACAGACCTGTAGTTGTTTCGTGAAGATGAATTCCTCAATTTGTTAACCACTTGCTGCCGTGTTCTTTACACTCCTGGCTGGGATCTCCAAAATCGGACAAAGGGAACTGGGCCTTGTAACAAAAGACCGTACTCGTAACAAGACTGAGCTGCTGGGCATTACCAACATTTTCTTACTCTCAATAGTGGAGATAATCCAGCCTTGTTTTGAAACAGTATACCACGGTTTTGGGGATTTAGCACAAGTGTATTACCACCGGGGACAAAAGCGCTCCACCACCGCAGCGATGAGCCACACAGTACTGCCGCACGCTAATCTGGCCCCTATTGAGGTCAGCAGCATACTGTGCCAGTTTTGTGAACAAAAGCAAATCATGTAACGCCGTAAAATCCAGGCTCATTTTACAAGGCGGCAGGCCTGGCTGAAATACTCCAGCGTCAATAGATGTTGTCTGTCAGATTAGAGTAGAACCTAGGCAGTCCTTCATGTGGGTGTAAGTGTCCAGTAAATGAAGATAGGAATTTTTAAAGAATTTTGAAAACAGAAAAAAATGATAATTATCCCATCCCAGCATCATCAACATTGATAACTGCCACCGGCGCAAAGTGGTTAATGAAAGGGATTTTGCAGGAAAGGGAAGCAGTTTTCAACAAAGCTGTGTCATTTTAAATTGGAAGGAGATCGAGGCACGCCTCCCATAGGCCAGATTGGATTGCCAGTTGAGCCAGATTAAGAATAGTTAAGTCCAAAACTGTTGATAATCAGTGGTTGAGGAAATCTGGTAGAACGTAGAGTTCAGCAAAATATGGTTGCAAATGCCGATGGACACAGGCAAGGTTAGGACACACACATGACATCATGAGCCTTTTAAAAGTTGCCCAATGATCCTTGATTAGACTGGCTTTGAATTATTACCAGTCATTGTTGTACCTACTCAGTTAAAGGTAACCGTGGCTTATTTCGGGAAAGATGCCGAAATGAATGTCATAAGTAAAGTAGCAAGTTTAGTACTTTGGTTGACGGCGCTCAGTGTATTTGCAACAGTGCAGTACAAGGTTTAAAGGATGCGTAACTTTGATGAAATGCACCACGTCACAATTTATTTTTTTTGACTTGGGTTATGAGATTCCCGTATTTCATGATCATTTGTGCAGGATTACAATTACGACTTCATAAAGTGCATGGAGATAGCTGTGGCCACCGGCTGCTGTAGGTACCCAGCACAGGCAGAGCTGGAACGCATGTGGGACGACCACCGCCAACCACTGATGGAGATGATCCAGCAGGTAGGGGGTAACCCGGGGGGGGGGCACTGCAGGGATGCCACCGTGCACTTAACCCCTTGAAAATCCACAGGAAACCCACATTGACCATCTTGAATCGAAAGCGAGGCAATCCCTGTGAAAATGTACAAACACTTTGGTGTGTGTAAGAATGGAGTTGATGCAGTAGAGGCAGATGATAGATTACCCAGATTTGCTCCAGTTCGTTATTCAGAATTATAGAGAAAATCTCATTTCACCTTTTTGTCCCACTCAAAATTATTTTTCAAAATCATGCATGTACCTGTAATTACTGCAACATAGTCAGGCACCTGTCTATGTCAGAGTGTTCAGTAACTATAAAGGATTCAGGGACGTCAGTTTCATGAGTCAAGTCCCTCATAGGTTGCACTTGAATTTGAGAGTACCAGGATTGTGATACCCTGGCACCATGGCTTCATTCGGGGCTTTGGTGTTCCCCCTTTTCTTGTGAGTGCAGAGAGTTTTGCCATTGGTTACTGCACTTGTGTTTGATTTGGGAGAGGCTTTGGAAAAAAACGTGGCCTCAGCTCCAGGAATCCGTTGCTATTCTCAGGCATAGTTGCCAATTTGTGATCAACTGCAGGAAATTTGGGGGACACCTTTGCAGCTTAATGCTGTGAGTTGCATTGTATTTTATGGAAGCATTCTGCATGAAATGGACTGGTGTAATTTTCGGGCATTCCTTCCAGTAATCGTTAAATCTTTTTAGTCCTTTAACTCTTGTATGGTTGAGGTTGAAATAATCATCAGCTCCAAATATGGACAAAAAAGGAACCAAGGTATACCAACTTGTGACCGTATGTCGTGATTTCCCACAGGCCCACCGTGGCATCAGAGGTTTTGTCCGCGACATCAGAGGCCAGCCTGTGGTGGGGGCCAAAATCGCTGTGGAGGGTCGAAACCACCACACGGTCTCGTCTTCCGCGGGAGACTTCCACCTGCTGCTGCTACCAGGGAAGTACACGCTGATAGTGGAAGCGGACGGGTCGGGAACCCAGACCCGGGAGTGCACGGTGGACAGAGACGAGCGGGAGGCGGTGCTGGTTGACTTCGAAATGGAGAGGACGAAAGAGATACTGGGCCTTCCACCGATGGTATTCATTCTCATTGCAGGTAGAAGCAAATCCATCTTTTCTGTTGTCGTGGTCCAGTCAAGTGTACTTCAGGGACCCAGTTTCATAGTGTTGCATTGCTGTTGGAGTCATAGGCTTAATGTAGCCAAAAATAATGCTGATGTATAAAGTATGATTTTATGGCTTAGATGTGGGAGTGGTTGTACGTGCATGGAGATTTCTGTAGTCGGAGTGCCGATTTAAGACACTTTATACACTTGGGTTAAGTGTCCTTTTACTGTGCTTGCTATGTGAAGGCCAGTTTATCTTCCAGACAAACGCAAGGGCAAAGTGAAATTTCACGAAACTTCATGAAACAGAATTCTCCAGAATTGAGATGCGTTCCAATTTGCGGATTTGCAGCAAGAGTATTTGGTCTGTCATCGCAGTTTTGCATTCATGTTTGCTCTTGCGCAAGGTATTAACTAGTCTTTACAGTCGCCATGGGAACAAAATCACCTGTTAAGCAGTGTTATGAAATTGGGCCTAGTGGAGTCAGTAGGTATCATGTGCCAAGAGACTTCTTTTCCCATTATGGCTAAATAACGTGGTTAAATTTTCACACAGTATTCCAAACTTTTGTTTGAAACCTATTTTGGATCCTATTATAATTATGAGCACTTTTTTGCTCATTGAACCTGTCTTGAAGAAATGCCTCATGGCAGGGCTTTTGGTGTGTTAACCCTCACGCCCACTTTTCCCACTCTTCATTCCCTCTTTCTCCAGTAGTAAGCTTGATGCTAGTTATTGTCACTGTTCTCTGTCTCGTCTACGTCTGTCGCCCGTCAAAAAGCAGCCGTCGGAAGCAGGGCTTCTACCGCCTGGACGGGGAGAAGATGTACCAGGAAGAGTACGAGGATCGCATTGCACTGAGTCGGTTCAACTCCACCTCCCAGCGGCCCCTCCTCAACAATGTGGAGTACCACGACTTTCTGGATTCAGCCAGTGAAGACGAAACCATGTTTACGCGAAACAGTTCACACTGACGACTTTGTTTTTCGTTCGTAGTTGTCAGTTGCATCGGCGTCTCTTATATTCTGGCCATTGTGTTGCCGTTGGATTGTGAATGACTAGAATGAACAGCACTTGACATGACATCTTCACAGTACTTCTTAATTTCTGTGTGTGATGCCTCTGGATGGCCATGCAACTCTACAGTTCATTAACTTTTGTTGAAATAAGTCGGGTACCCCCTTTACAATAGTTGTTGAAAAGAGCAAACGCCCATATAGATGTACGGGTCCTGCCTGGGTTATACATGTGCGTGTAAGTCAGTGTTGTAGTCAAGACCAGTCATAAGACCGGTCACAACTAAGATGGCGAACAATAACTTACAATAAAGGAATGCTTTTGTTACAGTTCAGGTGAACAGCTTGTGACTTCAATTCAGACTTGAGGCCCTGTGTTGTGTCGTGTAATGTCTTGTGGTGGTCTTAAGGGTCTTTGGCTACAACAGTGTTATTCTTTAAAGGTACAGTCCGACATCTGCCGTTTGTGCACTGTGTTCGTTTGGGGCAACAAAAGAGCTAAAATCTAAAGAAGAGTGCTTTACATATGAGAGAAATATGAGAAAAAGAAGGCATGCCTCATTGCAATCTCCAGCAACAGGCGTGTTGTAGGCAAACCTTAAATTTAGCTTTCTGAAGTCGTCATATTTACATACTGTATTGAAAATCTACTTCAACCTTGCGTGTAAATCATAATGTCTCTTTCCATTCCAGAGAAAGGTTTGTAAGACAGAAATGTGTATTAGAATCAAATTTATAAAAAACACTTTTTTTTACTTGCTGGTATCTAAAATTGAGCATATCAAATTTGGTCAAATTTCTGGCACGAAAGTTATTGCGCAGATCCATTTCACACGTGCACCTGAGGTGTCAAAGTGGGGTGTAACGGCGAGAATTGAAAGTTCATATACATGTACCACTGCGGAAGTCCATTGAGCTAAATTATACGCCAAAGGAGTAACCTTTGGTCTTTATTTTCTTGATCTGAATTTTCTGTACGTGTATTTGTAGCAACATTTAGTACTGCAGTTTAGTTTGTTAGTGTCTTTTGCACGGCCTTCAGTTTTGTATATACACTTTTGGCTCTTTGTTTTTTCACTGCCTCAACACTTTTGCACAGATGTTCAGGAACACAGGGTAGGTGTTTCAATTTTGACCAACAGCTGCATGCACAGACGAAAGTTGTTGTTTTTCAGTTTTATAAATGTTGGTCCGGCAGCATGCATCTCCTGTGAATCACTACATCTTCCTTTGTTACTCCTTTGCCTGCCTTTTCTCTTCTGTCCGGAAGTTGCTTGTTGTTACGTACATGATACGCACATATTAATCAGTGTTCGTAGGTTTTCTTGTTGTCAGTTCTATATTTTTATGTTCTTACCAACTCGGTACATTATTTTTGTATTTTGTTTCACCTTTTTATGTTAATTCATATTAGGTGGAAGTTGGTGAGGAAGTGGGTGATTGAAAGGGATATGATCGAGTTTTGTCGGTGAATAAGAGAATCAGTGCATCAATTTTACCTTTTCTGAAAGTTCAATAGCATTCGTGCATTTTATTTTTAAGTTTGTCACCATTTATCACTAGCCATATAAAAAATTGTATGCTAATCAAATAAAAGGAAACAAAAGTTGATATTGAATTATATTTATATTCTGTAAATATATATTTATCCTATGAGGTACACACATTCACAGAAGTTACCATGCGCTCTTTTAAGACACTGCTGAAGCTAAGAGTCACAAGAATGATGGGGTAAACTTGGATTTATTCTTTAATTCTTGCACTCTGGAAATGTTTATGTGTGTGATTGTTAGCGTGTTTCTACGTTGTTTTTCTAGATCCTTCAAAAGGTTTGGCAGTTGGGGTGGGGTTGGGGCTGATAAGTTTGACAGGTAGCATTGGGCGAGTTACATGTACATGGAGTTAAACTATTAACTGATTAACTCACTCTAGTCGACAGTGGTTGGACTAGTCTAGTCGACCATTCACCACCAGCCTGTCGAGGTTGATCACATCATTGTTTGCCATAAACCATTTTTAATAGCACAGTGCAGAGAGGACCAGTTGTCACAAAAATGCAGGACAAACAGTATGTTACCAGTTAACGACCATTTTCACTTTTATTCTTGCTATTTTGCCCTTCCTGCGCCCACCTGTTCTCCCCTTCAGCCTAATGATCTGACAACGGTTGACTGGGGTCCTTTGCAGTTCAACTTCACGGCACATGCATTGGTTAACCTGTGGTCCTTGATGGAACTTGCCCATGACCACTTGGTATGGAACCCTACTTACCAACGTCAGTGCTCTGTATTTGAAACAGGTTCCCACAGTGTTTGGAAAGATAAGAAAACCTCACATTTGAACTGTTTCAGATAAAATTGCATTTTTCTGTATTGTACTGCTACAGAAATGACTAGAAGTCGTTTGTCTGCATTAAAATGAAATGTCTTGAAAAAATTATAATTGTTAGAAAATGTACTTTTGCTGCATTGCATCATTTTATTTATTCTTTTTTTGGTTTATGCCCTTTAATCTTTGGCTGGGCAAAACTCATTACATGTACATAAAAGCATTTTCGAAATGAGTGGATTCGGCTGGACTTTGGTTTCACAGGTTCTGGCCATTTTGAAGCAGCGTTCAGAATCACATGTTCAAGCTCAGACTGGAACCAGTAAAACCAAAATCTAAGCCGAATCCACTTGTTTTGAAAATGCTCTTAGGCTACAGGATGATACCAACGAAAAGATGCTCTTTCGAATATGTTTCAGCATTATGAACATCGTGAATAAAGGCTCATGGATCAAAGTAATTCGGTTGGATTTACATGTTACTTCATTTTCAAACAATATACTGAAGTTACCCTGAACTTGGAAAACAAAAAAAAAATCAACATTCATCTTGGGGAAATAGGCACTAAAGAGAATTATAACACACCTCTTCCTGGTTCTTTATTCTGGTTGGCTAAATTACAGTCGCGTATGGTTCACTCATACGGGCTTGTATATGAATTTGATGTCAGTGTGTACACTGCGCTCACATCAATTCCAGAGACTAATGTCCAGTGGGGTACTGCATGTCTTGAAAATTTTTGACTAGTTATTGCCCCCCGAAGAAGGTTGCTATGGGTCATTTTAAAACAAAAAATGGCAGCATCTAATAAAATGAACCTTCAATATTTTGCAATTTTAGAAGTGCTCTTGAAAGTTTAACCCTAACCCCCTAGGCCTTTTTACTAGGAACCATCCTGAATCCTCCGAAATCCTCCAATTTTCAACATGAAAAAATTGCATTTAGCCTAAATCCTCCAAAATTTCTTGAAAATGTCATTTGGAGGTGTGCCTATCTGCCCAAATCCTTCAAAATCTTCCAGCAATCCCTGTCATTATGTTGAGGCAGTGCGAATGGCACTCTTGAGCTGTGCAGTTGATTCAAAAGAAATATCAGGCTGAATTTGTGCTTGACTAAGCACAAACAACATGAGGTCTAATCCATGACGTTCACATATGCCGTCCTTCGAAATCAGCCATGCACTTTTGCCATACATCCTGAATCCTCCAATTTCCTCCACTTTGCAGAAAAGGATTTGGGAGGGTTGGGTTAATTAAAACAGTGTCAAAACCCTGAAAGAATGTTTTTCTAGTTTGAGTCGTGTTATAAAATGAATTTGGTCACCAGTGCAAGCCAATGTCCCCTCGGGCCATGATTAAACCAGAAGAGGGTCCAGTTCTGTTTGAGGCCTTGGGAAATACATGTAGACCCTCTTCTAGTTAAATGCATAGAACATACATGTACATGTACTAAAACAATAACATTAAAGAGATGCCGAAGAGCCATTTCTTGTTGTGGTACCACAATTTGTGTATCCTTAGAACTGTCTGTATTTACTCGGAATAAGTACAGATGTGGCCGAGTTGTTCATTCTGTTACCAGATTTTTGCAGCCACTCTAGTGTGCTGACTTGCATTGCAAACAGGTGATGATGGTGGTCGTCCTGCTCACACTGTGCACTTGGCAAGAAAAGCTGTTGCATTCACTGCACAGACGACTTGTTCTCCTCCTACGGCCATGGGGACAGAAGGCACATCTTCTCTGTGGGGGTAACTCGTTGGGCCTGCCAGGTGCCACGGTTGGGTACTGGACAACAAATCCTGCCACTTCCATGGCTCTCAGCACATTCTTTGGCAGTCGTTGGGGCTGGGCCAGGCGCATCGTCACCTGTGGGTTGACCAAGGCCCTGACAAGCTGGTGGATGAAGTTGTGGCGGGTTTTTTGCTCACCTTGAAGATTGGGGTTCACTTGGAGATAGATGATGAAGCTGTTGATTGCGGCACAGTTCAGAAGGTGGTAAAATACCGCCATAGGCCAGCGTCTGGTGATGCGGGCACAGTTGTAGACGGAGCACATCTGATCAAATGTGTGCACGCCAGCCTTGGTGGCATTGTAGTATGTCAAGATGTCCGGTTTCTTCGAAGTGGGGTGTGTTTCCGTATCATGATGCATTGATGATAGGAGCAAGATGTTCTTCCTGGGTTTGGGCACATATGAAACCAGAGTCGATGTGTCAGAGAACAGAAATTGCGATGATTTTGTTGCCCGATTCCATACATTCCTCTTTCGCATCTCCAAGGGAACCTCACTGCGATTACCTTTGATTGTTCCCACAAGAGTCATGTTCTTTTTATACAAGTAGTTAGCCAAGTTATTGCTGACAAAAAAAGTGTTGGCAGTGATGTTCCGTCCTGTCCCAAACAATGGCTCAGCAAGTTCCTTGACAACTCGGGCCCCCAGATGGCATTCTACCCGGTTGGATCGCTTTCCAGTGTAAGGCTGAATGTTGTGAAGGTAGTGGGATGTGCTGTCGACTGATGTCCAAAACTTCAGTCCATATTTGGCTGGCTTTTTTGGCATGTATTGCCGAAAGGAACACCGTCCTCGAAATGCAATGAGCTGTTCGTCGATGGTCACACTTTCAGAGGGGCTGAAGTGTCGGCGACAGGCCCGAGCGAACATCTCAAAGATTTCTCTGATTGGAGCAAACTTGTCTGTGGATTTTCTCTGGGCCCGAGTCGCCTTGTTGTCAAATCTGAGCATGGTCAGGATGTCCTGGAATCGTGTACTGCTCATGGTGGCTAAGCACAGTGGTCTGCAGAAGAATCCTTGGCCCCAGAAAGAGCGCACTCTTTCGTGCCCCAAGTTTGTCAGTCCAAGGTACAACAAGAGACCCAAGAAGGCATACAGCTCCATCAATGCCACATTCCTCCACTCCTTTCCTCTCTTCATTACTCCTTGGGCATTAGTGTGTTGCAAGATGACATGCAACATGGCCGCTGGAAAAAACAATTCGAAAATCTCCAATGGCGTGGTTGCTCCACCAACATTTCTGGGGCCAGCTTTCTGGGTCATTATGTTGGGCCTTGCCATTTTGGCAGTTGGTCTTGGATTGTTGGACCAAACGGTTCCATCTGGTGCCCTTGTTTGTGCTGGCTGGGCTGCTGCTGCTGGTGGCCGGATCACATGGCCCTGTCCACGAGGAAAGGGCAGTTGTCGTCCTTTTGGCCGAAGATTTGCCTGACGTTTCTTTCTTGGCAGTGGCGCCACATCAGAATCGTCACTCTCTATGTCGCTCTCTGTAGTGATCTCACTCTGACTTGAGTGACTGGAAGGTTCATTTTCAGAACCACTGTCTCCTGAAAATGAACTCCCGGAACTGTCAGACATGTCAGAGTCATCACCAGACATTTTGCTTGGAGCACTCAGGGAACTGTTGGAGTCATCTCCTTGGAATATGCATTTATGGCATTGGAGATCATCAGCAGGGGACATCTTGCTTGGAGAACTCCAGGAACTGTCAGGGTCAGCTTTGATTACTCTTTGGAGAGCATCAATGCCATCAGGACAGGGTATCTTGCTTGGAGAACTCCAGGAACTGTCAGGGTCAGCTTTGATTACTCTTTGGAGAGCATCAATGCCATCAGGACTGGGCATCTTGGTTGGAGAACTCCAGGAACTGTCAGGGTCATCTTTGAATATTCCTTGGACAGCATCAATGCCATCAGCACGGGGTATCTTGCTTGGAGTTGGACATGTTTGAGAACACCAGGAACTGTCTGGGTCATCTTTGATTATTCCATGGCGAGCATCAATGCCATCAGCACTGGACATCTTGCTTGGAGAAGCCATCGTGATAGAAAGAACCGGCACAGAATACAGAGCACTGCACGGAATGGGACAATGAATCTCATCTCGAAGGCGTACCCGTGTGTACGTGTAGCACATAAACGTTTGGTATCCCTGGTTCCTTCCCATAGCCTTGACAGACATAGGGTATATGGTCATAAGGGACAAGGGAACTAGATCAGAGCACGCGTAACCGTGATCGTATGGAACGCCAAAGAGGCATTTAATGCGATTACCGAATCAGTGACTCCCTTCGGCAATCGGTGATGCATATAATCACGATCGGTGATTACCCGTCACTCGACCAGCTGATGATGCATAATTACTGTACTGTCCGATATGTGCAACGTTCTTCATAAGAATGTTCAATGTTTAACTAATATCTTGCATATTATCTTGCAATATATATATATTCGATGTTTTCACACAATTTTCCATGTTCACTCGTCGCCCAGCGCCCGAACAGGGAGCTGGAAAGAGAGCCTGAAAGTAAAAGGTCACGCAGGGAGCTTCCGGAACCCTTGCGCATTCTGCCTATGGAGATTGGGCCATCCAATCACGTTCAATAATTATGGAAGAATAATTTCTTACTGAAACCACCCCATAAAACACTCATGTTGGAATTTTACCTCTGTCTTCCTCAAGTAATATTTTGGAAAAGTCACCTGGAGACGGGTAAAAAACGAATTTTATTAACGACCTTTCACGTCCGGCGAGATCGTACCCGTACCTAGGTCTCCTTGTTCATGCGCGTTTGTTTTCATTTGCCGTGCTTTCCTAAAAACGAGATTGAACAACCTTGCAAAGATTTACCTACCTGCACTCGATGGGTTCCAGATTCTGTTGAGTTGACATCCCGCACTTGTTGTCAGCAAAGATTAGATAAAAATATTAGCGTCATTCTTAAAAGTTGAGTATTGCTTTATGTTTATTACCTTATAAATTATAAACATGGGCAAAATATTTTGATCTGTTTTATTTCGGCTTTTACCCACAGACTACCATAAAATTTCAAACCGTAAATGTTCATCTGCGAACGAGACTGCCGCATTGCACTGTTCTTCATGTATTTTAGATTTTCGGAAGTGGTGGGTCAATTTTTGGCAGGATATTTCTCTTCAAGATCAGGAATTTTTTATTTTCTATAAATTGATATAGTTTCTATGAATTAAGTAAATTCCCATAGATAGTAGTGATAAATCCCCTGCTTCCCTTCACTACGCAGGGCGCGTTTTTTTTATCTACACCGTAGCCTTGGTTTTTTCTGTGATGGTGCCAATTCGCGCATGAAAAGAGACTAGTGCTGAGTACGTACACGAGCGCATGTGATTTAACGTGGGGGCGGAAACGTGACATAATTGTTAAGACAGTCTAATTAAGCGTTACAATGCATGTCACCAAAAACTGGAAGACGTCTCGTTGTTGCATAGCTTCAGATGCTGCTAAATGTTATGTGAGAGCTCCGCTAAGAATCGTGGTAGGCCTACGCAATGCAAAACGTGAACAACCCAAACGTAACAACACGACCGAAATACTAGACTCATAATGAGTAAAACTTTTATTGAGTCTTCCACCGGTTTCCCTTATTCCATGCTTTAAATGCATACAAGCAGTGACGCACCAAGGATTCGAATTTTTGATATCATTCTTTGCTGTGTTATACAGTGCACAGTTAGCAGTAATAGATTTTGATATTGGGAGTCTTTTACCGTGGGTATATGAAACATTATTAACGCTCTTTGCTGCAAAGCCATAACCTGTCTGCTTGTTCGACTCTGTAAGCTGAACAAGCCTTGAGGAAATGACGCAGACGAAGTTGCAATCAAGGCTTCAAGACCAACCTGAACATGTTTCAAGTAAAATATTTTGAAATTCTGATTTTTTATGAGGGAAAAGAAACAAAAAATGAAATAAAATGATGAGAGACGAAGTGGTGGAAATCTCAATCTGCTTGAAAATAACCCTCATTTGACCCACCTAAATTGTTCATAATGTTTGTCACATCACAGTTGTATTTTATCCCCCTCCCCCCGAAAAAAATAATAATGCTAAAAAACATTGCGTGAGCTTGGCTATCCTAGCTCATCAAGCCAGCGATCACGGTGGTGATTAAAATTCTACTTTTTCACACACGCCAAAGAAATGACTTGACCATCAGAGGAAGAGGAATCGCCCCAATACTGTCACAAATGCATCGGTCTATCACCTCTGAAGCATCAACTTTCGGAACTAAGTACAGATATTTATTTGCTATAGTACACGCACGATAGTTTCGTGATTTCACGCGTTCGCTCTGAATGGTACAGTTCTGTCAGCATTAGTCTCTTCTCAAGCGCGAATTAGCGCTACCAGAGCGAAAAACCCTAGGCTATGGTGTAGCCTAAATAAAAAATACTCGTGCAGGGCCAACCTCAACCAACGTTCCCATGACTACGATGTTGCCGCGTCATATTGGTTCCCACTGTGCCTAGCGCGATGTAACTAGTGAAGGAACATGCACGCAGCCCTTGGAGTCGAGGTTGGGCCCGCAGACACGTGTACATTTTTTTACTCCCAAGTTTATAATCTGAGCTGGCCCACTGGGGTACAGGGCCATACATATGGATCGTGGATGCAAGATGTCAGGGGCCCCATATGGGTGCACCAATTCAAGCTCCACTGAAATTGTGGAAAATTAACAAAGTTTGGAGCCCCAATACATGGCAGGCAACTGAAGTCCCCGAGGCCTCTTAAACAAAGAACAATGTATTATTTGGTCCTTCAGATTTTATTTGATCTTCAATTTGTAGCAGGTTAACCAATTATTTTTTTAATTATCTGCCAAAGACAAACTCCCCCCCCCAAAAAAAGTGAATATTCCCAAGTATTCTCAGCAGCCATTTTTCAAATGACATCCCTCACCTTACGGGGCTCTTCTGACAAGTTATTAATCACACTTTTGCCTGCTTTGCCCCTAGATGGGTGCCCCTGAATCTACACAGATGATCCTGGGCCATACTGACACAATTCCACAATTGTTGGCCCAAATAGACCCCTCCTTTCGAAAGAATCTTTAGGGGTACTTTTGCGCGCCACGGCGTGCCGGAGAATTTCCTTGCATTGGGACACTGCACCCATATGGGTTGCTCGATGTGGGACCCACGTTTTGGCCCATCAGGGACCCATATGATTTCCATAATGGGCTTGCTACCTGGGTTGAGACTTGCAGAGCGTATAGTATCCACACGAGGAAGTCTCTTGTCAAACGTCCAACGGGAAACGATTACGTAATTTAGCCACGGGTGGCCATGGCGACAGCAAATTCCTTGCACTGTAATGTGATACACAAGTGATGTAAAGCCACCTTTCATGTACTAGAGTTGGCACACAAAGCAAAGAAAATTTAAAGAATTTGTCTAATTATGGCGTATGTATTAATTCTTTTCATTGCTGAAGAATATGAAAAAAGTCACACGGACACATCCAGGGTAATTTGTATCGATATCCCGATTCTGCCGATAGTTTGTCAATTTTGTCAATGCATAAGTATAATTTATTTTACGAAGCAATGGAATTTTTACAGGGCAAGTTTGTGTCATGAAATTAGACAGCACAAAAATTAACCCTTTTGTCTGGATGCAATAAACATTAACATTGCTAACATCAATATGATTCTTCTAGTCTGTTCTCTCCACAATCAGCTTTTGCTGAAAGGGCCAGTGCCCAAACCAATACTGTCTACTCGGGTTGTAAAATTTTTGCGCAGATACACCAAGTTACACAGACCATGACGTCAGTGGTGTATCCAGGTTTCAGGTGGGGTGGGAGAGTCGATTTATTTTCCTACAAACGTTGGTCCATTTCTTGTCCATAGAAGTTCCTCAACCGCCACTGCCCCCCCCCCATGGTGGTAATGTCTGGAAGTGCTAGAACATCTATTCAAAAATTAAACAAAATCAGCAAACGTGCAAAGCAAATCAGCAAAATGTTGCAATGAGCCTGGGGGAGAGGAAGACTATAGCTTCCCCAATGATGAGAAGTAGAGATATTCTGAAGGATACTGGCGTTAAACTCTGGGTCAGGTTGTGCCACGGATAAGTCCTGTTTTATCTATGAATTAATGATTGTGGTCACGGTCGTGTTCATGTACGTAGTTTTTTTTATTTTCCTTTTTGGACATGCAACACACTGTAGAAACCTATGGTGCATCTAGTGCAAAGCCCTATTTGACCTTAGAGCATTAAACCATTTTGTGTATGTGCTATAGGTCATCTGTGACGGAAATGTGGATTTATTGGTGTCATAAGTTCATAACAAAATATTTGGACATCGGTATGTAACAGACAACAATTTTAACAAATAATGAATCACATCTAAGAAACAAATGAAAGCAGGTTTCCTTTTAAGACACCCAGCAGGGATAGCTTCCAAGACAAAGCAACAGAAATCACTGACTCGTGCATTTTTAAAATATTTTTTCTCTGTTTTATTGATTAAAAAAACACAAAACAAACATAAATTAGAAAGTACAAGCACAAATCATACAAAATTATGGAAACTGGAAAAAAGGAGATAATTAGAAAGTATCACAGAAAAAATCTTTCAGAAAAAGAGGGGGCCATGAAGAGATGTAGAAAAAATGGTCACTACAAATGTACATTTGAAATGATTGCATAGGGTCTACAGAATTAAAATTTCAATTTTTTGTAATGGAGACTAATGGTTTGATTTTTCAAAGCAATCTTATATTCTATATCATACTAATTTTGTAAAAAAATCTTAACCCCCAAAAGCACGAAATTTGAGTCTGGAATTTACATCTTTATAAATAAAACTTAGTACAAAGAAAAACATAATTCAAAAATTATTATGGGGAATGCCAAAAATGAATTCAAATTTCCATATGGAGTCTTTGATATTTTGATTGTTAAAATATATGAACTCTGACAAGATGGGTGAAACGTGACCACACTCATAAAAAATACAAATAGAAGTTTTGGGACATTTATCACAAAAAGCACAGTTGGGAAAATCTTTCCTTCCAATTTTAAAAAGAGAATTATTAAAGGCAATAGCCCCATGAAACATCTTAAAATAAAAAGCTCTTAAGTTCCACTTGTACACTGAAAGTTATGTGTACGAATCACCTCAGAATGTCCATCTTCCAAATTAATATTTAAAGCACTAAAATACTTCATTTGATTTGAATGTTCACGTCTCAATCAGGAAGTGAAAAATTGGCCTACTTGTAACCGACTTCTGACTTCGTTCAAACAAGCATTGTAGTCTCTGGAAAGGGGTTTCTGTTAATTTCATGTGGCATCATCCCTGACTACCTTAGCTGCACCATCTTCACAGAATTAAAAAATGTAATAGATCTGATAACAAAATATTTTTCCTTCTATTTTGTCTTCATGCCGAACATTCTGGAGCCTATTAATTTAATGTACATGTAATTCCAGTAAAGGTTTTGGTATTTTGAAACAAAGTATGAGTAATAGAAACAGTTGAACAGGGGCTGTCAACTGTCATCCCACTGTAGCCATTTTCTTCTAAAAATTCCAAAATGTGGAAAAGAAAATAAGTAGACTCTATGAATAATAACAATACCCTGATTATGATTTGTGACTCAACACGGTTACAAAAAAATTGTAAATACTGTTTGTATGATGTGCATACTAAATGAGTCCAAGTTTGTAACTTTTTCAGTCAGATGAAAAGTGACATTGAAACTAATTTTGTTTTCTGATAAAGCTGGTAGCCACTGTGGCAATCTGTTATCACTTCCAACAGTGAATGACAGTATTAAGTTGTTGATCATATACAGGCATACATGTACTTGTTAGTTGACATCCCAGTAGGATAATGGGATTTTCATTTTAACACCAGATTTGGTTGTACTTTTGAAAACATATTTCTAACGGCATACATCCTGTGGGTAGCCGTCTCTGGCGTATCCTGAACATCGAGCATATATGCGAAAACATCAAACAAATATATTTCAAGATCACACGTATAAAATGTCAAACATTAAATATTGAACAAAATATTGAACACTGCATTTGTATATGTTAGATGTTGAACATGTTGAATGCAGAATGCAGCACCTCTTGAATATCTCACAAATGTAAATTGGCCATTGCATATTAATGTTGCACAACATTATAAACACATTGTGAACATCGCATATTGAACACATATTGTGAACATACACATGTGACAAATTGAATATTGAAACATTTGGTATGCCATACCCGTTTCCCAGCTGGCCGCATATACGGTGGCCATGAAACAACACTCCAGTAACATGCACAGACATGCACAAACTCAATACTACTCAGTACATATTACAAGCTAGATATGGAAAAGTAAGGGGTGGAAACTTGTAGCAAAAAAGTAGTACACCATTGACTTGTGCCCAAACACAAATGCTACAGTGTTACAAACTAGGAATTTCATTAAGTCAGTTGCTTCCTCATCTGACAACTTCTCCTTGTTCTTGAGACCAAACAGCAATTTTATACTGGTTTCCCTCGTCCTCTTGAAAATGAAATTGGATTGAACAAATGTCAGCATCAACTCATAATAAACTTTCGCCACCTGTCTGAACTTTCAAGTAACAGTTTAGTGAGTGAATGATGATAGTATTGAGTTGCTGTGAACTGCTGAACATGTACAAAAATTGTACATGTCACAACACTATTGAAACAACAATGGAACCAACCCCTGCAACAATCTACACGTACTTAAGGCGGTGTTCAAATTTACATGAGAGTCTATGGTAGTGGCTGTGGCCGGTTCCAATTGAGTCGTGCTTAATTTCAAGCTGCAGCCAAAGCTAGGTCTAGTATGAAATAAACCATTCGTTTTGTGTTGGTATTTCTGTTGTCAATCCACAATTTCTTGTGCTCCCTGCTACACAATCGAAACATATGAGGGAGAAACCGTTAATTGTATGCTTTAATTTCCAATAAAAGTGGATCAGGGCCTAATTCATCCTGCCCAAGTGGGAACTGGGTTACATGTACATGTAGGTAACCAGTGGAATTCAATATTAAAAGTCGGGTGCATGGTACATGTACATGTATGTAAGTTGGGCATACAAACTACACAAACAACATGTCAGCTTCCATGACCACGTGGGACGATTGCCTGAAAAGTACAAATTTATAGCATGGTTACTCCTTGCTTTATTACCCAAAAAATTTTACACAAAGTGCCTCATTCCATGTCAACTTGGCTTTCAGTGGACATCAAACCCTATCCCCAGAACTGTGTGGTCTGATGTCAAACCCCACAGCTCTTGGAGTCCATCAGTTCTGGGGGTACTGGAAAGTTACATGTATGATGAAATTCTAGGTCAACATATTCTGTTCTGATTTTCTGTATTTTTCTATTAGGTTCAAAAGCTATGATGAGGTTATTAACACCAGTATTCAATTGAATAAAATCATCATTCCTACAACGTTGTTTGGCACTAATGCACGGGGAAAGTCAAGGGAACATTACATTGCACCAAATCAGTGGACTTCACTAGGAATATAACTTGAGTCAACTCGGTCTCAGGTCAACTGTGTCAACTCTCAGGTTACTTTGGTCCCAATTCAAACCTAAGTCAACTCGTCCAAAGTCTGAAGCCTTTTTATACATATTCTACAGTTAATGGTCATGATTGAATTCTTGAAGAAAAAACTCACTTCAGTCTAAAAATGTGTTCACGTCTGCCGCGGCTTAAACCAACCAAATCACTACTTACTTTCAACTACACACCATACATTCTCCCCTAGGGACTGAGTTGGCCGAGGACTGCATTGACTTGAGACCGAGTTGACTAGAGACGGAGTTGAACTGGACCCTTCAGTTCACTAAGTTGCGTTGTGGTCAGGGGCATACAAAATAGATTTCACACACACACACATCCACTAAAACTGGTACCAGAGATATATTGAAATGATATACCAAACTTGTACTTAAACTTATACCAAACTTTAATATAGTTTTGCAAGTTAAGTATACGCTTGGTATATTAAAGTTAAGTTTGGTTTATATATCTTTTCACTCTCTCCCCGGTTTTTAGTGGATGTGTGTGAAATCCTTATAAAAGGGAAAAAATGAACCTTAATCTTTGGGAAATATGCACTGTAAACACACTAAAACTGTAAACCAAATGCTTTTGAAACTCAACTTAAAAGTAAGGACACTAAAGAGATGCACAATAGCCATTCCTTGGTCTGGTGCCACAATCTGTGTTTTACAGTCACCCTAAATGTGCTGAATGGCATTGCAAACAGGTGACAATGGCCGTCGTCTGGCTGACACTGTGCACCTCGCACGAAAATCTGTTGCATTCACTGCACAGACGTCTTGTTCTCCTCCTGCGGCCACGGGGACAGGAGGCACATCTTCTCTGTGGCGGCAACTCGTGGGGTTTAGCAGGTGCCATGGTTGGGTACTGGACAACAAATCCTGTGACTTCCATGGCTCTCAGCACATTCTTTGGCAGTCGTTGGGGCTGGGCCAGGCGCATCATCACCTGTGGGTTGACCAAGGCCCTGACAACCTGGTGGATGAAGTTGTGGCGGGTTTTTTGTTCACCTTGAAGATTGGGGTTCATTTGAAGATAGATGATGAAGCTGTTGATAGCAGCACAGTTCAGAAGGTGGTAAAATACCGCCATAGGCCAGCGTCTAGTGATGCGGGCACAGTTATAGACGGAGCACATCTGATCAAGTGTGTGTACGCCAGCCTTGGTGGCATTGTAGTATATTAAGATGTCCGGTTTCTTCGAAGTGGGGTGTGTTTCTGTGTCATGATGCATTGATGATAGTAGCAAGATGTTCTTCCTGGGTTTGGGCACATATGAAACCAGTGTTGATGTGTCAGAGAACAGAAACTGTGATGATTTTGTTGCCCGATTCTGTATGGTCCCCTTCCGCATCTCCAAGGGAACCTCACGGCGATTACCTTTGATTGTTCCAACAAGAGTCATGTTCTTTGTGTACAGGTAGTTGGCCAAGTCATTGCTGATGAAAAAACTGTTGGCAGTGATGTTCCGACCTGTCCCAAACAATGGCTTGGCAAGTTCTTTGACAACTTGGGCCCCCAGATGGCATTCTACCCGGTCGGATCGTTTCCCAGTGTAGGGCTGAATGTTGTGCAGGTAGTGGGATGTGCTGTCGACTGATGCCCAAAAGGTCAGTCCATATTTGGCTGGCTTTTTCGGCATGTACTGCCGAAAAGAACACCGTCCTCGAAATGCAACGAGCTGTTCGTCAATGGTCACACTTTCAGAGGGGCTGTAGTGTTGGCGACAGGCCCGAGCAAACATCTCAAAGATATCTCTGATTGGAGCAAACTTGTCTGTGGATCTTCTCTGGGCCCGAGTCGCCTTGTTGTCGAATCTGAGCATGGTCAGGATGTCTTGGAATCGTGTACTGCTCATGGTAGCTAAGCACAGTGGTCTGCAGAAGAATCCTTGGCCCCAGAAAGAGCGCACTCTTTCGCGCCCAGATTTTGTCAGTCCGAGGTACAACAAGAGACCCAAGAAGGCATGCAGCTCCATTAATGCCACATTCTTCCACTCCCTTCCTCTCTTCATTACTCCTTGGGCATTAGTGTGTTGCAAGATGACATGCAACATGGCCGCTGGAAAAAACAATTCGAAAATCTCCAATGGCGTGGTTGCTCCACCAACATTTCTGGGGCCAGCTTTCTGGGTCAAAATGTTGGGCCTTGCCATTTTGGCAGTGGGGCTTGGATCACTGGACCAAATGGTTCCATCTGGTGCCCTTGTTTGTGCTGGCTGGGCTGTTGCTGCTGGTGGCAAGATCGCATGGCCCTGTCCATGACGAGAGGGCAGTTGTCGTCCTTTTGGCAAAATTTTTGCTGGACGTTTCTTTCTTGGCAGTGGCGACACATCAGAATCTTCACTCTCCGTGTCGCTCTCCGTAGTGATGTCACTCTGACTTGAGTGAATGGAGGGTTCATATTCAGAACCACTTTCGCTTGAAAATGAACTCCAGGTACTGTCAGACATGTCAGCGTCATCTTGGATGTCATCAGCACGGGATATCTTGCTTGGCGAACTCCAGGAACTGTCCGAGTCATCTCCTTGGAATATGCCTTCATGGCCTTGGGGGTCATGAGCACGGGACGTCTTCCTAGGACAACTTCGGGAACTGTCAGGGTCATCTTTGATTATTTCTTGGAGAACATCATTGCCATCGACACTGGGCATCTTGCTAGGAGAACTCTGGGAACTGTCAGGGTCATCTTTGATTACTTGTTGGAGAGCATCAATGCCATCAACACTGGGCGTCTTGCTTGGAGAACTCCAGAAATTGTCGGGGTCATCTTTGATTATTCCTTGGATAGAGAAAAGCATAAATGAGTGAGGACGCTGTTTATTGGGGAACTCATTTTCTCAAATTGGAAATTGTGATTAAAATTTGTCTTTTTCAGCAGGCTCTTGCTCCTCTATTTAATTGCAAATTTCAATCTTTTTGAAATTTAATTCGTTGAAATAAGGCATGAATAAATACAAAAAAATTTATGGAAATGTGAATTTTAAGCTTTTCAAAGTCTACGCTCATACTCATTTTTGTGTAAAAAACATCACATTCACAGTATGCATTGGGCGGCTCATAAATTTTTTTCTATTTTCTTTTAGAAGCGATCTTATAGAGGATGTCATAAGAAACATTTTGATATAAATTTGGATTCCATTGAACTCTGCAAAGCAAAGAAAAATAGATTTGAAGCGAGGATATTTTGAGATGTTTTTGTACTTGTGTGTAATGCTGAGCAAACTTGTGATTTTTCTGTATACAAAAATGAGTGTGGATTTTGACCGAAAAGCTTAAAATTTACATTTCCATAAAATGTTTGTTCTTATTTGTGCCTTATTTCAATGGATTAAATGTGGCTTCGCTTGAAATTTCAAAAATTTTGAGATTGGAAATTAAATAGAGGAGCAACAGCCTGCGGAAAATCACAAATTTTAATCACAGTTTCCTATTTAAGAAAAATGAGTTTACAAATATAAACAGCGCCCTCGCTCAGTTATGCATGTCCCTTTACTTAATTACATAAAAAATCCGTGCTTTTGAGTATTTCTTTGCTTTGCAGAGTCCAATGGAATCCAACTTATATCAAAATGTTTTTAATGACATCCTCTTTAAGATCACTTTAAAAAAGAAAAGAAAAAAGACAGGGGCCTAGTTGACAAATAGCTATGCCTGCTGGGCCTACCTTGGTCATGTTGGAGACCATCAATGCCATCGGCACTTGGCCATGTTGACGTCTTGCTTGGAGATGTCCAGAAACTGTCTGGGTCATCTTTGATTATTCCTTCAGCAAGGGACGTCTTGCTCGAAGAAATCCAGAAACTGTCGGGGTCGTCTTTGATTATTCCTTGCAGAATATCAGTACCATCGGCACTGGACACTGTGCTTGGAGAAGCCATTGTGATAGAAAGAACCAGCACAGATTTCTGCGCGAATGGGACAATCAATCTTGCACTAGTCGCAGGCTAATATCCGCGTACAAATAACATAGTACAATCCTGCAATGTGCAAGCAATGTGCCGCATGGGGTATCCCTGGTTCCCTCCCAAGCATTGACAGATATAACGGGTATGGCATGGTCATAAGGGGCCAGGGAAGTAGATCAGGTTGCACGTTGCACTACACCAGACACGGAGCAATTTGGACGACGAAAAGTGGCCATCTGCTTTTCTGCTATCAGAATGGTAGAAAAGCAGATTTTATGTTCTGGTAACATGTAATTTCGACTTTTCCACCACCTCAAAAAGCAGACCGAGCATTGTTTGGTTATGCATTTTTCTATTTTCTGCTTCAAAAAAGCAGATTTTACTTTTTCTGCATTCGCTGGCGGCCGAAAAGCGGCCATCTGCTTTTCTACATTGGAGCAGGCAGAAATTTGGATCGAACATTCTGACGACAACCGTGAATTCAACTTTTCTGCTTGTGTGATACCGGAAAAGCAGATTTTACATAGGTGGCCGAAAAGTGGCCATCTGCTTTTCTGTCCTCAATGGGAAGTGAATGGGGTCATGAACCGGTAGGTTACGACCATTTCCGTTTTTGGCAGTGAAGACGTACATGTATAAAAAGCAGTACGTAACCCATGTTTTCTAGGGACCAATCCCATACTGCAGTGTCAGTGTCCTTGTGAGGCAGGGAAAAAAGCATCTCAAAGGAAACACAGTTTGTTTACAACTATCATCCAATCACAGTGTGTGAAATCTGTAAACTTTGGCGCGATTGAAAAGGGTCGACAGATTTCGCGCATTGCAAACTTTTGGAGGTGCACCATTGTGAATCGCCCATATTGCCTGAAAAGGTATGAATATATAGCCTAGTTACTCCTTGCTTTATTACCATATAGATTTTAAATGAAGTGCCTCCCGAGTGTTTTTTGGTGGAGTTTTGGAGTCAGGTGTGTTGGGGTTTTAAATTGTGCTCAATGCATTTATATGGTGTGCTGCAGTAGCATCTTAACTTAAGCGACCAAATTTTGCTTTAAATTTTACAGAAAATAGAATTTTATACATTAAGCTCTCAACATGTGTGTTCATAAGTCTTGAGTTTACGTACCTGCTGGAAAGTTACTCTCAGAACTGTGGGGTTCGACGTCTGCCACACAGTGAACATCAAAACCTATCCCCAGGGGTGAGGGGTTTGACGTCGAAACCCACAACTCTGGGAGTTCGTCAAACCCCATAGTTGGTGTGGTGGTGAAAAGTTAGGATGAAATTCTGGGCCAACATTTTTTTGTTCTGATTTGTTGTGTTTTTAGGTTCAACTTCATGTCTTATAAATTTATTCACCTGAAAAAATCGTCCTTCCTGCAATGCAGTTTGGCACCAATACATGACGAGAGTCGAGGGAACATTAAAGTGCACCAAATCAGTGGACTGCACTAGGATTTCCAGTCAACTAAGTCCGAGTCAACTCTGTCAGTCCCGTGTCAACTCTGTCCCGGGTTAACTCGATCCCAATTCAACTCGTCTAAAGTCTTAAATTTTTCTGATACTTTTTTACAATTAAATGTCATAATTGAGGTTTTGTTTCAGCAGGAGGTCTTGTAGAAAAAGGGCAGAAAGATCACTTGAGTCTTAAATTCCAAAATCATGTGTAAGTGTAAAGGTTGTATGATTTAAATCACCAATTTAAATTGCTATTTGATTCAAATGATTTTTTTTTAAAAATCACTGATTTAAATCAACATATTTAATGTTTTGGGTAAAAATACAAAAATGTTTCACTTTTTGAATTTTTTTCTACTGATTGGAAATGTTTGCAGGCTTTGCACATTTTAAACAGCAACCCCCCCCCTCTGTGAGCCTTCCAGTTCCTAGTTTTAAAGATGTATGGATGCACGTGTGTTGAAAAACACCTCCATTGGCAAGTTTTTTGGTTCAATTCTGTCCACTTGTTTTGATTTAAATCAGCTTTTTGATTCAGTAAGAGAATTTGATGCAAAGGATTTATAATTATGATTTAATTTTATTTCATTTACATTGCCCTTTTAAGAGTTTAACCATAAAAAATGGGTAACAAGTTAAAACTCTGGCCTTTCAAATGCTTGATGAGCATAACATTCTAAAAATGTCTGATTGCTATCCGCAGCTTAGTCGTACAATTGGGACCAGTAATATCCTAGCAATACATGTACATGTATTTTGTTTGCATTTTTATAACTACAACTTATCACCGTGACCAGGAAAAAAAGAGCAAAAAATCTCCAACATTAAATCAACTTTTTTCACTGTGAATAAACTTTTTACTTTGATACGCTGTTCCATTATCCATGCAATGTTTCTGACATTATTTTGTCTCTCCAAAACATAATTTTTCAAAGTCTTTGTATGAATTTGGCTAAGACTGGCCGACAACATGTTGACAAAATGCGCTATTTCATCACAAGGAGTGCTCATGAGATCTCATGAAATACCTTTTTGTATAAATGCTGTAATAAAAATGATACAAATGAAAACACAACATCTTATAAACAATTTGGCTATTCATTCCCAAAATAACTCCAGAAGAAAGTGCTCGATAAGGGCAATGACTGCACCTGAACACTGAGGGCACACAGCCTAATAAATACAAGCCAGTGCGTAGGCATATTGTTTTCAGATCATACCAAGCACCATAGATGGCATGAATATTAAACTTCCTATACTGCAGTGCACAATGTTTTACCAGATTACCAGCAAAAAATTGCGGTGACGATCACAGGGTACAAACGTGGCTTATGGTTGTGACACAGGTGGAGCATAGCAAGCATTCACTTAGCCCCACAAATCGGGCTGTAGTGGCTCTGTTTTACAATCTTTCTCTTATCTGTCGCCACCACAGCCCCACTTCAAGGCATGTCTTAAATGCCTGGAATCCAAACTGCAGGATTGTCACAAACTTCGAATCCTAATATCTTCCGAAATGAGAATGACTCCACTTACACTGGCATAAGGTGGGGCTAGCATTCACTGTGCTCTGGCTATGGATGTACCAGACATGCCAGAAAGCAGTATTTAGCCAGATATTATAGCCCGGGCAGTTCAAACTCCTGTGTTCTTTCTCCATGGTTTAACATGGTAAAGTTTCAGTGTACATGAACCTTTTATAACTCTATAAGTATTTAGAAACGTTCGTAATTACAGTGTAACCATAACCACTAAATTCATACCCTTAATAAAGTGATTTTTAATCAAGCCTAAATCATTGCTCCGCATGTGGAGCTCAGAAGCTGGATCACAAACAAAATGAGACTGCATTTTACACAGAGGTAAAATACCAGCATTTGTACCTACACATAAAGCATGTAAAATAAATGCATTGGCCTGTTGTTCATGGCATGTTTCTCACTCGGTCATTTGATGCATGTATAAGTACCCTATTAAAAACTCCTTTGTCAAAACTTGGAGTTCAGTTTAAACCTTGGTATGCACTTTATCCTAGACACATGTATATGTGCATATGTACTTGTCTCTGAAGGAAGTGTCTTCTCTGAGGGTACATGTACCGGTAGATGTTATACTGCATGCAGTTCACCAAGGCTAAAATGTGGTGGTTTGTGAGTTTCATCAAATTACTTGATTTAAACTTCCTAATTTAAATCCAAATTTGTTTCATTTTGTCACAAAATAAATAAATCAAAGAAAACTATTACATATGCAGCTAATTTGCTTGCTTTTGAATAGACATTTGAGCAAACTTGTCTCAAATTTTAAAAAATCTGATTTACATTTTTAAAAATCTGATTTAAATCAAAAAATCAAAACCCTGGTACGTGTTTGTGGCACCTTAAACCAATCAAATCACTACTTTGAACCACGTCCCATATATTTTCCCATGGGGACCGAGTTGATTGTGGACTGCAATTACTTGAGACAGAGTTGATTTAAGACCGAATTGACTGGTGACAAAGTTGACCTGCACTCTTCACTTGGATGCTGTGTGGTCAGGGGCATGCAAAATACAGGAGACTTCACACACATCCACCAAAAGCTGGAGAGATATTGAAATGATATGCCAGACTAATACTATAGGTACCCAACTGACAATGGGAGCAGCTTTTATTTCTTCATTGTCTTGATGTCCATGGCTCATCTGCTGCTTGTGTGAGTTAAGTGTAAGTTTGGTATATTGTTTCAGTGTCTCTCCAGTTTTAAGTTACATGTAGGTATCAGTTTGGCTTATCATTTCAATACATGTGTATCTCCAGTTTTAAGTGAAGTGAATGTTATAAGTTTGGTAATTGTATATTGTTTCAATATCTCTTCGGTTTTTAGTGGATGTGTGTGAAATTCTTATAAAAGGAACAAACAATCAATTTGATCTTTGGGAAACACACACTGTTAACTAAATGCAATAAGACTAAAAGGTAAACTAAAAAAACAATAACACTCAAACTGTAAAAAAAAAAAAAAAAAACTAAAACTAATCTCAAAGACAATAACACTAAATTGATGCCCAACAGCCATTTCTTGTCCTGGTGCCACAATTTGTGTCTCCTTAGATTTTACTCAAAATGGAGAGACAAAAACTTAGGACAGGAAATGTGGTTAAGTGTTCATCTGTTACCAGGTTTTTACAGACGCTCTAGTCTACTGACTGGCACTGCAAACAGGTAATGATGGTGGTCGTCTTGTTCACACTGTGCATCTTGCAAGAAAATCTGTTGCATTCACTGCACAGATGTGTTGTTTGCCTCCTGTTGCTCCGGGTACAGAAAGCACATCTTCTCTTTGGACGAAACTCGCTGGGTCTAACAGGTGCCGGGGTTGGGTACTGGACAACAAATCCTGCAATTTCCATGGCTCTCAGCACATTCTTTGGCAGTCGTTGGGGCTGGGCCAGGCGCATCGTCACCTGTGGGTTGACCAAGGCCCTGACAAGCTGGTGGATGAAGTTGTGACAGGTTTTTTGCTCACCATGCAGACTGGGGTTCACTTGGAGATAGATGATGAAGCTGTTGATAGCAGCACAGTTTAGAAGGTGGTAAAATACCATCAGCGGCCAGCGTGTGGTGGTGCGGGCAGAGTTGTAAAGGGAGCACATCTGATCAAAAGTGTGTACACCAGCCTTGGTGGCGTTGTAGTATGTCAAGATGTCTGGTTTCTTCGAAATTGGGTGTGTTTCCATGTCATGATGCATTGATGATAGGAGCAAGATGTTCTTCTTGGGTTTGGGCACATATGAATTGTGTCAGAGAACAGAAACTGTGATGATTTTGTTGCCCGATTCCGTATGTTCCCCTTCTGCATCTCCAAGGGAACCTCACGGCGATTACCTTTGATTGTTCCAACAAGAGTCATGTTCTTTGTGTATAGGTAGTTGGCCAAGTCACTGCTGACGAAAAAATCGTTGGCAGTGATGTTCCGTCCTGTCCCAAACAATGGCTCAGCAAGTTCCTTGACAACTCGGGCCCCCAGATGGCATTCTACCCGGTTGGATCGCTTTCCAGTGTAAGGCTGAATGTTGTGAAGGTAGTGGGATGTGCTGTCCACTGACGCCCAAAACTTCAGTCCATATTTGGCTGGCTTTTTTGGCATGTATTGCCGAAAGGAACACCGTCCTCGAAACGCAACGAGCTGTTCGTCAATGGTCACACATTCAGAGGGGCTGTAGTGTCGGCGACAGGCCCGAGCAAACATCTCAAAGATATCTCTGATTGGAGCAAACTTGTCTGTGGATCTTCTCTGGGCCCGAGTCGCCTTGTTGTCGAATCTGAGCATGGTCAGGATGTCTTGGAATCGTGTACTGCTCATGGTAGCTAAGCACAGTGGTTTGCAGAAGAATCCTTGGCTCCAGAAAGAGCGTTGTCTTTCGTGCCCCGAATGTGTCAGTCCGAGGTACAACAAGAGACCCAAGAAGGCATACAGCTCCATCAATGCCACATTCCTCCACTCCTTTCCTCTCTTCATTGCTCCTTGGGCATTAGTGTGTTGCAAGATGACATGCAACATGGCCGCTGGAAAAAACAATTCGAAAATCTCCAATGGCGTGGTTGCTCCACCAACATTTCTGGGGCCAGCTTTCTGGGTCAATATGTTGGGCCTTGCCATTTTGGCAGTTGGGCTTGGATTGTTGGACCAAATGGTTCCATCCAGTGCCACTGTTTGTGTTTTCTGGGCCCTAGCTGGTGGCCGGATCACATGGCCCTGTCTGTGAGGAAAGGGCAGTTGTCGTCCTTTTGGTGAAATTTTTACTGGACGTTTCTTTTTCGGCGGCAATGGCACATCAGAATCTTCACTCTCTGTGTCGCTCTCCACAGTGATGTCACTCCGACTTGAGTGAATGGAGGGTTCATATTCAGAGCCACTTTCTCCTGAAAATGAACTCCAGGAACTTTCAGACATGTCAGCGTCATCTTGGAGTATGCCTCGGAGATCATCAACACCGGACACCTTGCTTGGAGAACTCAAGGAACCGTTGGATTCCTCTCCTTTGAATATGCCTTTATGGCCTAGGGGATCATCAGCATGGGACGTTTTCCTAGGACAACTTCGGGAACTGTCAGGGTCATCTTTGATTATTCCTTGGAGAACATCAATGCCATCGACACTGGGCATCTTGCTTGGAGAACTCTGAGGACTGTCAGGGTCATCTTTGATTATTCCTTGGAGAGCATCAATGCTATCGGATGTCGTGCATGGAGAACTCCAGACACTGTCAGGGTCATCTTTGATTATTCCTTGGAGAGCATCAATGCTATCGGATGTCTTACTTGGAGAACTCCAGAAACTGTCAGGGTCATCTTTGATTATTCCTTGGATGGAAATGTGCAAAAATGAGTGAGGGTGCTGTTTATTTGGTAACTCATTTTCTTAAAGAGGAAATTGTGATTAAAATTTGTCTTTTTCCGCCTGCTCTAGCTCCTCTATTTAATTTCAAATTTTAATCTTTTCGAAATTCCAAGCAATGCCAACATTTAATTGATTGTAACAAAGCGTGAATAAATAGAAACATTTCATGGAAATGTGAATTTTACCTTTAAACTCTTAAGTTACATGTATGTCAAAGTCCACACCCACCCATTTGTATATAAAAAACCCAACAAAGTCTGCTCTTCATAACACACCGTACTAAAAAATCAAAACATCTTAAAACATCATTGTTTCAAATGAGTAGACCTATTTCTTTGCTTTGCAGAGTCCAATGGAATCCAACTTTTTTACTGTGTGTTATTTATACTTGTATTACTTTAGTTATTTTTTCATCTCTCGATTTTACATGTTATTATTTTCATAAGCAGCTGATAACCAGCATCCCAGTTTATTCCCAGCAATGTCCATATGTTATTTATTAATATTTTTTCTGGTAGCATCTTAGGAGAGCCTCACGATAGTGATAAGTTTGCTTCTTGGTAATAATCCCTCACTCAGGGGTGTTATCAGTTTGTACCATGTAGCTATTTTATAATTTTCCATGTCCGTGTTTTATGCTTGTTGCCTGTTATCTTCGTCTTGATACATGTACCTGAGAAATTAATACTATAGGCCTAAATGAAGAACTTTCGAAGTTACATGCTCGGCCTAATCAAAATGTTTGATGACATCCTCTCCCAGATCACTTCAAAAAGGCCTACCTTGGACATGCTGGAGAGCATCAATGCCATCTGCACTGGGCGTCTTGCTTGGAGAAGCCATTGTGATAGAAAGAACCGGCACGAAATGGGACAAGGAATCTCGCACAAGCCTGCAGGCCAGACATATCCGTGTACATATATACAATCATGTAGATGTACAATGTACATGTACACAATCCTGCAATACAAACGCATGGGGTATGCCTGGTTCCTTGTCAAGCCTTTGACTGAGAATAGGGTATTATTATGACATACTGTAGTCCGGTCATAAGGGACCAGGGAACTAGATCTGTCATTATCGTACAACCTCGTTCTCACAAGCACGATCTTGCCGCGCCATATTGGTTGCCTTGCAACGCTAGGGAAGGAACCTCGAAGGAATGCGCACGCAGCCAATGGAGTCGAGGTTAATCATTGACTGCCGCCGAAATTTTAAGCGTAAAGCACGGCATGTATGGTGTACTATTCACCATGAAGCAAAGGGCGACAGCACGCGTCGCGTCGTGCGTCGGGACGTGCTTCAGTCGACGCGATGCACGACACGACAGCACGATGCGACGGAAGGGGCGACGTTTAGGCAGAAAAAATGCAACAAGGAAGGGACCTAAGACGGGCGACGGCGCGACGCGTCGTGTGTTGACAAACGAAATGGCAAGAAGGCGACGGTTCGGACCCGACGGCACGACGCAAGGGAGCCGTCGTGCCGTCCGGTTGCGTCGCCTGGAGGGAGGCAAGAGAGAGAGAAATGTTTGTCGTAAATAGTACACCATAATTTTTAACTTTGACCCTTGATCGTTTCACATACTTGTTTGATCGATCCACCATGCCTGACTCTCATTTTAGCAGTAGAACTAGAAGATGTATTCGTTTTTGTAGTTGCGCCGAACTCCACTGGAAAGAAGAAATAATATCCTGACATCGGTAAAGTGACGTGTATATGAAATAATACCATTTGTTGTTACATAAATGAATTAACAAAATATAGTTTTGTTGGGGTAGATCGTTTTTCTCGATAACTCAGTTACTCTAGACGTAACTTTACTCGTTAACGGCCTGACGTTACGGCTATAGCCTATGTAATATTTCTGTCTCTCCCTGGCCCTGCACGAAATCCCACAGAACTGAATGTAAATAATAAATTATTTACAATGTACAATTCCTTAATATTTTTCATAAGAGACGAATTGATTCAACATTATTTTGAGGGCGGGTATACCTATGATGAAATCTGCTGTATACTCCAAATTAGACATGACCTGAGTTGCAGGTAGGTTCACAGAAATATTTTAAACAGTAACGTTACTTGTTAGCCCCATAAATAATGCTGATATGCTGGACAACCTGTTCTCATTGGTCTATCCACCATGGCATACACACCCACAAAAACCAACATGTCACATTTTCTGAAACTTAAACCAGGTCGTAATTGCCCCCGAACAATACATTTAATAAACAGTTTGTTATCCACAGCACTGCCTAGTATTTCTGTATTTCAAGGTGAAATTGAGAGGACAAAATGGAATATCTGTATCGGTTGGCAGATTTCTTTCTACAACTTGATGAAAACAAGTCAGCACATTTTTACAGTATGCAAATTAGAATTAGACTGTAGATAAGTTGGCCTGAACATTTTTGCTGAAAATGTTTTTCCCAACAAAACACTTGGTTGAATTCTCAGAAAGGCGACATTTTCTTGTCAAGGGGCAGGGGTAGTCTAGCATTATTGGTGGGATTTGTACTTGCCTTATTAGGAAAAGATCCTCAGAAGTGAATGGAATCATCAGATTGTCATTTGTTAAACCCCGGCTTTTGCAGGTCCTATGCAAATCTTTTGATGGGCGACACACGACTGTCGACGTACGATGGGTGACACACGACGGGCGACGGAAAATGGCATGTTTGGAACTGGTAAATGGCAGAATTGGGACACAACAAAAAGCAAAAGACGACGGACGACGGCAGATATGGAATTCCATATAGACCTGGAGGAGAAAAATACAATGGACTGCCAACTCCAGCGGGCGCAAGTCGATCTTGCGTCAACCAGAAGTGCTGAAGTTACCGGCACAGACAACTTCCGTTTTGCTGTTTTCCGTGTGTTAAATTGTGCAAGTAGCACAATGCGTAACACAGAAATACTAAAAAAAAAAAGGCATAAATTTCCAGGTAGTAATTGTACAGTTGATGGAAGCAGCGCCTAAAGGCACAAATAGGGGGTTGAGGTTTCATGGCATAACGAACATAACACACTTATGCTGTCTGTCCCATCCATACGTGCCCATTTTGCTATTTTATCCAAAACATGAAGAATTCCAAGGCAAAATTACGAGCGCTGCGACGCGTGACGGTCGCAATCGTTAATTGCAAGTTAACACCTGTTGAAAGGTCAACCTGAAGTTTCCTCTGCCGGCAACTCCGGCCGACGGAAGATGTATACACGCAATGCACAGGGCGCCCGCAGGAGTTGGTGGTCCATTTTATTTTTCTCCTCCAGGTGTAGTATGCTGATGGCAAGCGTTATTGAAATTTGTTTGTACGCCAATGGCGATGCTGTGACACGTGCAAAGTGTCGGCTATAAACACAGCGTGGTAATTTATCTTCTCACTCAGTATCACTGAAAACCTGTCTTTTGGCGACATATTTCAAATCATTTATTATCTTGGTCATTTTTTGATGAACGAAAAAGTGTAGTGAGAATATTTTCAGCAATGAGCAAGAAAAAGAATAAAATTCGAATTGACAACCGTTTTTGTCATGCATTGAGCTAGCTCGTGCGCCTGGCAGAAATTTACCCACAATGCTCGGCACGTTAACTGTGACCTTGTGTGACATATTTACTTCACTAAAATCTGTGCAAACTGTGCAAGGGCGCTGTGCGACGAGCGAAATGTTTTGTTGCCATGTGCATTGTAGGTATATTGTAACGGGACTGTTTGCCAGTCTCATATTTTGATATCATTTGCATTGTGGGTAAGACCAAACGTGAGTAAGGCTGTGTCCGAATTATGTGGCTGTGGCTAGCAATTATACACGAGTCTATGGTAGTGGCCGTGGCCGGTTCCCATTGAGTAGTGTTTAATTTCAAGCCACAGCAAAAGCTAGGTCTAAGTCTTAAACTCCATTGGAAATATGCAGACACGCCAACGATAGACCAAGGCCGTTTTCCAATACTCAACTTCGGTCCGTCTCAACCTTCAACTGTTTTTTTACTAGCTGACTTTGAAGCTGTAAGCGCAGTCATCAGTCTAATAGTGCCACAGAAGATCAAATAAGATGCAAGAAAGCCAAAAATTACAGTAATCCAATGTAATTGAAACACCTCAGACCCACAATCGGGGATTGGTTTTGGGAACGAAGCCTGAACGGAGACGAAGTTGAGTATTGGAAAATGACCCTAGCTGTAGCTCAGAAAGCCCATGTCGATGTTAGACACAGCCTCACCTGAGCTATGGATTCCAAGGGTTGATCATCCGTGTAAATAAACCACAGGGCCACTGTATATAATTGTATGAAATAAACCATTCGTTTTATGTCTGTCTTTCTGTTGTCAATCCACAATTCTTTGTGCTCTCCTCTACACAACCCAAACAAATACATGACAGAGAAATGTTATAAATTTGCTTCAGTTTCCAACTAAAGTGGTCTAGGGCCCAACTGATCCTGCCCAAATTGGAACAAGCTGAGGTAACCAATGGAATTTAATATCAAAAGTTGGGCGCATTGTAAGTTGGGCATACAAACTAAACAAACAACATGTCTGCCTCTACAATCATGTGGGACAATACAGGCGATTCACAAAAGTGCACCTCCAAGAGTTTGCAACGTGTTGGCCGATCACGATGTGTGAAATCTGTCAATCAAAGATTGAAAAGGGTCGACAGATTTCGTGCGTTGTGATTGGCCAACGCGTTGCAAACCTTTGGAGGCGCACTATTGAGAATCACCCGTGTTGCCTGAAAAAGTATGAATGTATAGCCTAGTTACTCCTTGCTTTATTACCATACATTTTACACGAAGTGTCTCATTCTATGTCAACTCGGCTAAGTTCTGAGTGGTTTTTGTGAATTTTTGGAGTCAAATGTGTTTGGCTTTTATAACGCGTTCAGTGTTGGCGCAGCCCTCTAATGCATTAATGTGATGGGCCTTCCTTCTAACCAGTACTGTCAGTAGCATCTTAAGAGAAAAAAAAATTGCTTTAAATTTTACAGAAACTAAAATTTTATCAAGCTCTGAACATGTCTGTTCAGAAGTTTTGAGTTTACGTACCTGCTGGAAAGTTACTCTCAGAACTGTGGGGTTCGACGTATGCCACACAGTGAACATCAAACCCTATCCCCAAGGCTGTGGGGTTTGACGTCGAACCCCACAACTCTGAGAGTTTGTCAAACACCGTAGTTGGTGCGGTAGTGGAAAGTTACGATGAAATTCTTGGCCAACAACAAGAGTCGACGGAACATTAAAGTGCACCAAATCAGTGGACTGCACTAGGAATTCCAGTCGACTAAGTCTGAGTCAACTCGGTTTCAATTGAACTCAGTCAAGTCAGTCCCATGTCAACTCTGTCCCAGGTTAACTCGTTCCAAATTCAACTTGGTCCTAGATCAACTTGGTCCAGGTCAACTCGTCCAAAGTCTTAAATTTTTGTGTACATTTTTACAGTTAAATGTCATGATTAAGTTTTTGGTTTCAGCAGGTGGTCTTGTAGAAAAAGAGCAGAAAGATCACTTAAGTCTTAAACTCCAAAATCATGTGTATGTGTTTGTGGCAGCTTAAACTAACCAAATCACTACTTTGAACCACATCCCATACATTTTCCCATAAGGATCGAGTTGATTGCGGACAGCAATTACTTGAGAACAACTTGACTAGTGACAAAGTTGACCTGTACTCTTCACTAGGATGATGTGTGGTCAGGGGCATGTAAAATAGACTTCACACACATCCTCTAAAAACCGGAGATATTGAAACAATATACTTAAACTTAACTTAAAACTGGAGAGATATTGAAATGTTATACCAAACTTATACTTAACTCATACAAGCGCCAGAAAAGCCGTCGACACCAAAGACAACAAAGAAATAAATGCTTTTCTGATCGTCATTTGGGTACCTACATGTACATGTATAAGTTCGGTATATCATTTCAATATCCTTATTAAAAGGAAATCCTTATGAAAGGAAATAAAATCAACTTTGATCTTTGGAAAACACGCACTGTAAATTAAAAGCAATAACACTTAAACTGTCAACAAAAAAACGGCTAAAACTAAACTCAACAGACAATAACATTAAATAGATGCCCAATAGTTACTCCTTGTTCTGGTGGTTGTCTCAGAATTTACTCAAAATGGAGAGACAAAAATTTAGAATGACAAGATGTGGTTGAG